AATTCTAGTGGTTAAGGTTAACGACTCATGTTAGTGAATTGGCCTGATTGTATGTTTTTACATAATTCAAAAATTATAATTGAAAAAATAATTTTAATTTGGTCTTTTAGTTTAACGATTATACATACATTGCTTTAGAATCTAGTCTTATCACAACATAAAAAACACCACTATATATTTCGTAAATGTGAAAAATTTAAAAATTTTAAAATGCAGCTTTAATGGTTGTCCATTTATTCAATAAATAAAATTTTTAATAAAATATAAAATCTAAATCAATGCAAATAAAACGCAAATGATCATTTTCAACCATAACATTTCCCATAACTCACTAACAATTTCATTAAATAATCATATACTTCAAGCATCACCAGCAGTTAAATATTTAGGAATAACGCTTGATCCAAAATTAAACTTTAACAGCCATACTAAACTTAAAAAAAAAAAATAATTACAAGGTTTTAGAAGTTTAACCTACAAAAACTCAGGCATTAGTATGGATACAAGCACAAAAATATACAAAATGATCTGCAGGCCCATCATTGAGTACGGATTTATCCTATTTCTAAATTGCAAAAGACCAGCTATGCAGAACCTAAAAACATCAGAAACAACTTCCCTACGAACAATCACAAAAATCCGCCACCCTAACAATCCTTTATTTAACCCCTCAAATATCCTACTCTATACAACAACAAAAATTCAACCAATAGAAGAAAGAATTAACATGTTGGCAGAAAAGTTCAGCAAAAAAGACATTAATTTCGAAATACTTAATAAGTACTGCATAGAACGAGAAAATCGCGAATCTACACTCAAACATCCAGTAGAAACCACCATGGAGAAATTAATAAAATTCCATAATGCTCCAATAACACTAGATGTGCATTTTTTGTTTATTAAATAAGTAACTTGATTTTATAAATGTTATGATTATACTGTTAAATGTTATATTTATACTTATATCAAAATTTATTGTAAACTCATCGGCTGAAGGACTACAGTCAATAGCCTTTGAACTTGGTTTTAGTTCAATAAAGCATTATTATTATTATATTATTATAAAATCTAGCTGTTATTTCATATACTGAATACTATGGATAACATTTTATTGGATCGCACTAAAAAAAAATTACTTGATCTAAAAAATCTATTTTCAAAATCTGTTGCTATTTTTTATGGAAGCAAAAAAAATGTCGTACTGTGGTATTAATTGCTATTAAAGTTTTAAATACTGAAAGAAAATATTCTTTGGTAACACTGGTCAACAAAATGAAACCTTTAGTTTTCCACAGGGTGGCCAACCACTTTTTCAGGGTAATTTTGGTGCCCCCACACCAAAAATGACCCACATTTTGCTCAATTAGCTCTTGTTTTTGCGATATTATAAAAAAAAAACGGTTTTTTATTATGCAAACGTTAAAATTCGTATACATATTTTTATAATCAAATACTTTTACCAAGGATCATTGGTAATGTTGGTATCGGTAGCTTTATTGTGTTAAAATTTTAACGCATTAAAATAAAAATTGTCAAAATAGCACTCGAAACAATCGCCACTGTGCACAGCGGTAGACTGGAATAGCAAAGAATAAAGTTTTTTCTTTACTACCACAAACTGCCGTTCGAAGACAAAACTTCATATCTGCAATATTTAGTAGTTAAGTAAAAAAGCCATTTTTTATCGTTTTTTTAAATTAAAATTTTCTTCTGTCCTTTACTACAAAATATTGCAGATACGACCTTTAAGCTTAACACGGCAGTATTGCGAGTTTATAAATGATTAAAATACTGGTAAATCAAGTTAAAAATTAAATTATTTTAAAATCTATTTAAAATATGAAATTTTAACACAAGTTTTATACAGGGTGACCTAAAAATAGTGTGCAATACTCTACAAGCGGATTTTATGGCCAAAAATTGGAAGAAAACTTTATATGAACATAGGTTGGCAAATGGCCCCTAAGAAACTTACAGCCTTAAAGGGGTGACCTGAAGATTGTTTTTTATTGTTATTTCCGAAACGGTTTGTATTAATATTTCTGGTTAAATTTATTAATTTACTTTTATTAAAAAATGGTTCGTTTAAAAAAAAATATTGCACACAAAAAAGTTGTGGGTAAAAATACCCTGTTTAATATACTCGATTAAAATTTAAATTTCGTTTTAATTTTTAAATTCAGCATTAAAAGTTAAGTGAGCCAACACTTTATTATTTTATCTCACAACTTTTCCGGAAATAATATTAAAAAAACATCTTCAGATTCGCCTCTTTGAGAGGCTGTAACTCTCTTAGGAGCCATTTGTCAACCTATATTATGAAAAGTTTTCTTTAAATTTTTCTATTTAGAATTCTGTAAAAAAATTTATTCAATTGGATAAGTTTAGATATAAAAATCTTGTAAAAGTAGATTAAAAATTACACTTTCTTGTAAACTATTTAATGTATCTTTATAACACAAGTTTTGTGTTAATAACCTTGATTCTGTAAAAATAAATAATTGAATCAGTGGCGGCAAAATTATCGCCCTAGTAAAAGTAAAGGAAAACAAACCAAAAAATCATAAACCCGAGAAAAACGCGCGCTTAGATTATCCATGAAGATAATATTTTTATTAATATTTACGCGCTCCGAAAAAACGACCCTTGGATCCAAAAAAAGAAATTTTAAAGGAGAGGCGATTGAAGTTTGCTCGACTTCGGAAATTCGTAGCATTTTCAATTATTGATTTTTTTTTAGGATTTTGTACCAATCTACTTAAAACAATCATAATTTCGAAAATCATTTTTTGGAGCGCGTTACATAATATTTAATCAAACCCAAGATTTGTTATCCTGGGATCTTAACTAAATGGATATTTAGAATCAAAAGTATTTAATTTTTTTTAAATAATAAAATAAAGTTCGCAAATAAGAACATCGCATCTCAATTTTTGGCAAATTATCAGGGTTGCCAGATATTTTTGACAGTAGTATAAATTAAAATAGCCCAAAAGTAGCTGCATTGGCACCCTAGGTAAACAACTTTAATATTTTAATAACTTTGGCACCTCATGGCGTAAAGGTTATTTTTTACGGTTTTTTTTACACAGTGACTAGAGGCACGCTAACGTGCCGCGATTGAAAATGTTAAAGGCACGTTAGTTACGTCATAAATATAATCCGTTTTTGTTCCCCGAGCGTTTAATATTTGACATCAAGCTAGATAGCTCATATGGTAGGGCGGTCGCTTGGCATGCGAGAGGTCCCGGGTTCGATACTAAGAAGTTGTCGAACTGAAGTAAAAAAATAAATTTTTTTATTTCATAAATTTGTTGTTTCTTTGTTAAACAGTGTTCGGTTGGGTTGGGTTGGTTGGTTTGTTTTAGTTTTATCGTAACATAAAATCTACTAGAAGTTGTCGAACTTTTTTTATTTCATAAATTTGTTGTTCCTTTGTTAAAAAGTGTTTTATTTTTATCGTAACATAAATTTGCCCATTTTAGTTGGGTTTTTTGTTCAATGGGGCGGGGTCGGTTGGGTTGTGTTGTTGAGTTTGGGTTGGTTTGGGTTTATGACGTAACTAACGTGCCTTTAACATTTAGAATCGCGGCACGTTAGCGTGCCTCTAGTCACAGCGTTTTTTTTAAAGAAACTTCTTTGGTAAAAAGTGAGAAAGGCTAAAATAGGTTATGACAAATAATTAAAAAAAATTACTATGAAAGGTTTTTAGGAAATAAATTATTTAAAACTTAAAATACATTAGTAAATATTTAGAAACTTTACCGCACCCAAATTATTTGAAGTATCTGCAATTTTCTAACTTTAATTTTTTTTTCATTTTCCCAGTTCTAATTGTATTTTTTTGAATATTTGGGGTACCTACTTGCGGAAACACTGCTTTTGGCATTATTTAACATAGAATAAGAATATAAATGAAAGCACGTTCAAAAACAAAACGAATTGCGAACAACTGTCAAATAAAGAAAAATAATGCTAAATAAATTTCTTCTTTTGTTGCCTCCAAGAGTGCGCAAAGTTATTACCTATATCTTTATAGAATTTCCATTTGCTAAAAATGTAGACCAAAGTAGTAGTAGTCTGGAATTTTTGAGAGCCAAAGATGTAGATAGCCCAATCTGGCAACCCTGTATCCTTCTAAATATGGGTATCTTTTTTATTTAAAGAGCCACAAGGTTGGTTAAATTAGACAAAAGTTACGTAATTACAAGTCTATTAAAATCTTTATAACTTTGTTATTCCTGGGAATTTTTCAAAAAAGTAAGTTTTATATCGAAACAAACACATTTATCTTCAATTTTGTGGACAACCACCATATTTTGTTATTCGTATTGCCGCCATATTGGAAATTTATATTGTTAGATAGAAAAAAAGGAATCCAAAGGTGGATTAAACTACATAAGTTATGGCGTTCATTATAAAAACAACCCAAAACATAGTAGCAAAGAAATTGGATGAAAATGTTAATTAAGTCTGTTTACATGTAAAACTTACTTTGTTTCAAAATTACCAGGAATAACAAAGTTTTAAAGATTTTTAATTTTGAAAGGTTTTTAGTTTTTTTCAAATATTTTGAGAATGGCTAGATTGTAGTTCTTCAAAGTATACAAATAAAAGGATATTTGGTGACCCCTGCACAAATAGGTCGTCCTTTTCAATCGCTCGTTTTTTTTTTTCAGAAATTTAAAAAAGTTCACTTTTTGAGAAAAGTATTTTTATCGTATCTAATTTACATAAGAAATGGCGCAAATACCATCGTAGAAACAGTCCCAATTTTACCAAAAGGCATACAACGTAAATTCTTCGTTGTTTGTTATGGTAGTAAATTATTTAATACTATTTTAATTTACAAGGGGGTGGCAGCAAATATATTTTTTTAAAATATCATCTTTATATAAGATATTAGTTATTTAAAAATTTGCGGATAGTTACATCTTCGGATTTATTTTTATCATTATGTGCAACTTTTTAGGTAAATTTAAAACAATATTTTTTTTTAGAAAAAGCTTTGGAGGATAAAAAGGCAGCCAAAGTGTCTAAAAAGGAGAGTGCTGGTAGTGCGAGCGAAGACAAGCCGGGCACTTCGAAGGAAGAGACTTCGTCGCCGACAAGTGAAAGTCCGACGAAACAGCAAAACAAAAACAGTGCGTCGACGTCGGCGGTCGGTGCGAAAAGTGATAGCGAGTCGTCGGAAGGGCCGAACACCTCCGACGAAGATCAAACAAAGCCGAAACAAACGAACGGTCCTTTGGACGATTTGAAATTGTTAGACAAAACAATAAACGAGCTGATAGCTATTGTCGATAAAAATGCTTAACAATTTCAAACGACCAAAGTATAATTATTATTTTTTGTTCTCTCAAATTTTATATTATTTATCTTATTTCTATATATATATAATGTATTAATAAATGTACATTAAAAGCTTTAAAACCGAATGACTGGATTAAAAAGTGGTCGTAAAGCAGGGTTTCTCTATTTAAGTTATGTACATTTTGTTTGCCTTTAAAATGTGTAAGTGAAATATAAAAGCATTTGTAAAAAAAAATCGCTTCGAAAATTGTGTAAACTTGTTTTTCCATAAGACTGTTATTAATAAATACTTTTTAATACAAAATATTGATTTCATTACTTACCTTGACAAAATCTTATCCGAAAAAAATACCAACAATAAAAAGATCCTCGATTGAACCTTAAATAAATCAGTATTTATTCCTGTGAAAAATCACACCATTTCTCTACATGTCAAAATTATAAAATACAGAAGAAACTTACACAAATAATTATTTCAAAGTTGTTGTATCCACGTGTATTTCCATATTCATAAGTTAGCAAATACAAAAAGAAAACAAAACTACACATATACAGTGTCTACATAATAATTATGTGGAGAATATTTTATACAATTAGCAATAGGTACACAAGATAATTTAGTTAGTTCATAAATTCTATCTAAAAAAAATTTGCGGGCCAATCTCCAAAAACCTAGGAACCACACTAAATTCAAAATTATGACAAGTGTCGTTCCCGGCGACATCTTACAACCACGGGAAAGTCATTATGCTGAATCTACAAGGCGTGTGTAACAACTGTATTTGTATTTCGTAGAAAGAGTAAAAAATTAAACTAATACTTAAAAGGAGAAGAGAATAATTCGGAGAAGGGCCCGCGAAACCGTATCCTTAGTACTCGTCGCCCGGGTTCGCCCAATTCCGCCCTCTAGCGGCGTCCCTGCGAGCCTTAACGTATCGTCTTACGGAAACGGCCGAGCGGAACCGACGTGCGCGCCCGAGCTCAGTCCAAAATGTGTTTGCGCATGCTTACAGTCAATTTACTTACAATTAATATTAATCGGCTAACTTAACGAACGAAAAATGAGTTTTCGGCTTCGCAAAGCAGTTGAATCGTTGTCGTTTTTAATGGCGATAATCTTTTTGATGTTAAATATGTTCTGAAGAAATTATCTTCCATAGGTGGGATCAAAATTTACGAGTAAAAAATAAAAAACATAATAGAAATAGCACAGCCTTTTGGATTATTATCAAATAAGTCCCTAATTTTGTCATTTCCGTATAATTATAGTAAATTTGCACACATCGCTTAAAAACGACAATGGTTAACTTTTAAGCAAACACCCGCGTAAATTGACTGTAAACGCGGCAGATAATTTTTTATATAAATTTTTGAAAAGCCCAAAGTTCCCCGCCATCGTCAAGTTGTATTTTGAAAAACAAAATAAAAAAAGAAAACCAGCTGGATGATTAAAAAAAAATTGTATAATACAGACTGAAAAATCATTCGTTTATAATAATAATTAATTAAAGTACAAACATAAGCGTTTCTTGGTGATCACTGGCCGAAAAAAAAAACAATTATTCTATTTAAAAAATCCAGTCCCTGCATTTTAAAGTTATTATTTTCGATAAAAATTGCACCATACATGAGATTTTATTATTGTTGGATTAAATTAAATTAAACAAAAAATTCTCTCTAATTGACTACTTTACAAAAATAAGAGAAAAAAAAACGAAATAAAAATGTAATCGCCTGTCGATAAAATTAAACAGAGACAAACTAATAACACGCAGTGTATAAAATGTTTGACATGTACAAGTCTTGTTTATTCCACTGTAGTCAAGAAACGATACTAATAATAATAATAGTGGGGAGGCCCTTTGCGGGGCCTAAAAAATAATAAATACTTACAAATTTACGAGGCGCGGCAGACGCGCACTGTTTAAATCAATATAAAATACAATTACAAGCTAAATAATATAAACTATTTATAAACGAACAAAGTAAACTGTGGCTGTGATTGGTTGGTGTGGGAGAGGCGAACTGACGACGACGAACGAAAATTCACGAGCGTCCTCTTCGGCAACAGAGGGGAGTTACAGCTGTTGTGGAGGGGGGACGATTATGATGTTGCTGTGAATTTTTCTAAGACTGGTTCCAGTAGGAGTTCGGGTAGTTTTGCTTCGAACCGGCTTTGGCCTGGTTCGAGCCTTGGCTCCTTTGACCGCTCGAATTACCTGAATCCTAAAAGAGAAAGAACACGGAAATGCTAAAATTGTACGTACAAACCACTTTAGAGATTTTATTAGACATTTTTTAGTTTAAGATTTTGTGTAGCTATAAAACGTAGTGAAATATATCACATTTTATAAGTAAATATAGTTTTATACTATTTATTTATATTGTTTTAATGAAATTACTAAAAAATTAGATGTCTTATAAAATCTCCATTTTATGAAACGACATGAACAAAAAACAAAGCGGAATTTTTAAATGGTTAAATATGTTACCAATTTACCCACAGCAAAATGATGAATAGTTTTGATTGTAGATGTAAAAAACACGAAATTCAAACATAACAACACCTGATGGTAAATAGTTTTTATATACTGGTATTTATACAAGCATGCGGACGCGACAAATAAAAAAATGCCTGTACAAAATAATACCACAATTCCTGAGACCAAAATAACGCAATATAACTAAATTTACCTCTATAAACAAAAGTTTATAATAACCAAGATACAGGGTATGTCAAAGTTGGAAGTTTGTATTCGATTTTATTAAATAACTTTGGAAAAAAACCTTTTACACAAAATTAAATTTCTTAAAAAAATTAGTGTGGGTTGTAGGCGCTGTTAGCGACACTTTGCTACGTTTAAATGTTCACATAATTTTGCGCCTTAGTGAATTCACGCTTTAACAAAGCTATTAATTTTTTATCTTTATAACGCAAAAAGGCACACCTTGTAAATGTAGCTCGAAGTAACCGTTGTATTTTATTGTGATTAATTTTTACTTAATATATTTTTTTAAACAACATTTTTAAAAACAATGACTGTCCAAACTAAATTTGTAGCATCTTTTAATCTATGGGTCTATACTATTAAGGCTATCTGCCAAAATAATAAATTTAGACAGCTAATATAGAACTAGAATCATGAATAAGAACTTAAATTAACAAAAATGAATACAATTTTTAAAAATTAAATATAAAAATATTTTAATGTCTTAATTAAGGTTAAAAGTTAGCATCACACTCTATAACCCCATGTCCCCATCATATTGCAATAGTGGATATATTTCATAGGTTTTGTATAAAACAGAATTCTAAAACTGACTAATAAAGGATGTGATAAAATGTCTGAATAATTTTTTAAGTGACCAAACCTTGTCCTTATATTTAATGTCTATTTCGTCACAAACCGCCTGCATAAAAACAGCTTTGTTATAAAATACACTGGAGTTTAGCAATACATATAAAAGAACTCAGTAACCCATGTAATTTATAACTGTGACACGAGATGGCGCGTGTTTTTGAAGGTTATCTTTCACGGCATTTACTCGGTAAGTAATTGTAGTTTTTAATATTCTTTTCATGTAAAATAAACCAATTTCTTTCTTTTTAATTAATGCAATGTTTTATGTGCATTTATTGTCACTTGGAAAATAGATTTTTTTTTGTGAAAAATGTCTCTGTCACATGTCTCTTTTGTCACACTGCACTGCTATCGCTACGATATTAAAACTTAAAAATAAGATAGCAAAATTTTAGATTAGAATTACCATTAGTTTGCCTAAATAATAGTCACAATGGATATGAAAATGTAAAATATTTATGTTTTAGAAGCTAAAAAGTATAATGACCCGTATATTTTCAATCGTAACCTACTTTTTTAAGAAAATGTTACATTTTCAAATCACTTTTAAACAGTTTTAATATCTCGAAAATGGTTTCTCGCAGCGACATTTAAAAGTATACCTTTTACACGTAATAAAGATAAGAAAATAATATTTTTTATTCAAAACACTAGGGCGCAAAAAAGATGTGACCATTTAAACGTATGAAAAGTTTCGCAGATAGCACCCTCTACAACCGACATTATTTTATTTTTTTTTTAATTTAATTTTCTCGTCCTAAAAAACCTCCGAATATAAAATTTTTTGAAAAAGTTTGTTTTTTCCGAACTTATTTAACAAAATCTAACTTTCAACTTTTGGCATCAAAATTGTCAAAAACATTCTTATTTTATTAGGCTAGGCATTAAATAAAAAAACAAGCAATATTTTAAAAAGTGAGTCCACATATGTGAATTATTTAAATTATCTCTACTTTTATAAAATATTGCTTGCGTTTTTTTATTTAACTCAAAGCTCAATAAAAATAATATACAATAAATTAGATAGATTTTTTTATAAAAACAGTTTTGTGACTTGTGTCGTCCGCGTGTTTGAAATGTACTAACACAGGAGACACCGGCGGCAAATTTCGTTTTTAAATTTAAAATAACTCATGATTAAGGTCCTTTTTGAGAAATCAGTTAGTATGGACCGCTTCACGAGTGAATATCGCGTTCTTTGAGTAAAATCCTATTATAAAAACAACAATTATTTGAACGCCGCGCGGAGATTTTTCTCGGTCATCATGGCTTAAGACTATTCGGCCATTTCAAGCGCTCGAAACGCACGTAATACAAAAATGTTTTTATAAAAAAAATTGTAGAATATTTATTATATAATATTTTGGCATCAAAATTGTCGAAAATATTCTTCTTTTATTAGGTTATATGTATATTAAATAAAAAAAACGCAATAAATATTTTATAAAAGTAGAGATAATTTTAATACCTAATTGAAAGGTGTGTACAGGACAAAAATAAAATCTTGTCCCGTCCACACCTGTCCAATAATGAAATTATCTTTACTTTTATAAAATATGTCTTGCGATTTTTTTTTATTTAATGTATAGCCTAATAAAAGAAGAATATATTTGACAATTTTGATGCAAAAATAATATATAATAAGTTCCCTACAATTTTTTTTATAAATAAAGGTTTGTGATTTGTCCCGTCCGTCCGCTTGAAATGGCCGTATTAATCGTGCTCCTCAGTAAAATTAAATCAGAGTAAACATTCAGCTGCGCTATATTTAATAAAATTTACTGTTGTCTTATTTTAAATTTAAAAATTACATTTTCCGCGGGTCCCTGTACTAAAGATTTTTTATAGTTTTTGTGTGAAATATAGTTTAACATAAAGAGTTAAACAGTAAAATAATAAAACCATTGTAAAAAACACAAAAGCAAACGTATTAATTACAAAGCTGGACTGTTTTAAAGTTCTATTTAGTAACACCCAAAACAAAATTAGCAACGTTATTGTTATTAATTGAATGTTATTGTTTTGGCATGGCGTGGTTTGGCTTTTTTTTCGACTTACCACGCGCCGGCCCTGGTGCCTGACTTCCATCTACAAGCAAAACAAAACCTGAATAACCTAAATTCTGATCTGGACCCGCCTAATGCATTCAATGTTGAACAAAATAAATAAAAAGAAAGAAAAAATCAAAATGCATAATCAAAATTGTCTCAAAATTGAATAAAAACAACAATCAAAGTTTAAAAAAATACGGATTAAAAAATGTTTTTGTTTAATTTTCAAGATAGAAATATGTACCTACTGTCTGCCCACTCTAAGTTGGCTGAACTAAGGAATTTTGTTGTTTAGATATTAAAGAATTGTCGAACTGTGTGCTTTTAAAACAGATTTTATATTATAAATTATACTAGTATATAATATGTACTAGTATTATTTATAATATAAAATCTGTTTTAAAAGCACACAGTACGACAATTCTTTAATATCTAAACTACAAAATTCCTTAGTTCTGCCAACTTAGAGTGGACAGACAGTACTTGATATTATTTTATTCAACACCTATTTCATTTCATAACTTAAACTAGTGGGGAAAATTTATTTCGCCCACGGACTAAAGTTGTTTTTCAGTTAAAATTGGCTTTTTAAGCTTTTTAGTATATTATGTATCAAGTTTTATAAACGCCATTTTAGTTACCAGTTTTATTAGGAAAGTGTTGAATAAAAACAGATGTCTAGAGAAGTTTATACTTTATCTAGCAAAAACATAAATAAGAATTTAAATCCAATTTTAATTTTAATTTATAAATGTTTAACTAACGAATTTTACCTCACTTTTTCGCAATTTATAATAAAGCTAACTTCAGCCCGTGACTAAAATGCCCAAAAGGAACTGTTGTTAACTTCAGCCCGTGACTAAAACGCCATAAAGTCAAAGCTTGTCAATGTAGGAGTAGATAAAATTAGTTAACAGTTGTCAAATGTCTAAATAAAGCGACTATGATCTTTAGAAAAAGAGGTTAGTACCGTCCAACCCGCATTTTTGTAATCATGAAAATTTACAGAAGACATACGGAAATTAGGTAGGTACCAATGCAACAATCCAACCAAAATTTAAAAAAAAATATCATTGTTATGTATAACTTATTTTTACAATTTAATATTCGGGAGATATTTCTCCAGCTACGCTATGCCCTGCCAAACTTGAAAAAACACCCAACGTGTTTCTTTTATAACTTATGTTTGCCGCACAGAGGCGAACAGACTCTTAAAATGCTGGTAATTTAGAGATACATTTTTTATAAAACCAAAACCCTTTTTTGGAAATTAGTTTTTTTCCAGTTTTAACCCTTTTGCGCAATTTTTTTGAACAAAAAATGATCTTTTAAAATTTTCTATAAATGGCTATTTACTATAAGAAGGGGTACAAGTGCAAAAAAGAGAAGTTAAAGTTTTTGCTATATACAAAAATCTGGATACTTGTTTCAATATTGTTGTTTGCATTAATCAACATGCAGAACTCGTCCAATTTTCTCGTCATGAGAAAAAAATTAAAAACATTTGGACTCCAAACTACCCAATTCTGCACTTAACTTATATTTATACTAAAATGCACTTTTACCCTTTTGCTTCTTACCCCCCTTCATAAGTAAATTGGTTCAGTGTAGGCTGTACAATAGGGTGTCCCAAAAAAAAGAATATTTTTTTTCTTCTCGTCTCTTGTGAAAATATGTTGGTTTGTCATGTTTTAAGAGCCCTGTCAAAAGATCAGCACCATTAAAAAAATTTTAGGGGTCGATCAAGATTTTTAAAAATTACCAAAATCGTCAAAAATTGGATTTTTTTTTATTTTAATTTTTTTTCTCTTTCCGATATTATTTTTTAATTTAAAAATAATAATGATTCTGAAAATTTCAAATCGATATTTTAATTTCTAAAGGTCGCTCAAGATTTTTTTAACTTTCAAAGTAGAGTATTTTGAATGTTTTCGAGCGACCTCTGAATATAAATATCAACGAACTTTTAGCGACCTTTAGAAATCAAAATATTGATTTGAAATTTACAGAATTTTTATTATTTTCAACCTAAAAAATAATATCGAGACGAGAAAAAGAATTAAAATAAAACAAAAATTCAATTTTTGACCATTTTGAAAATTTTTAAAAATCTTGAGCGACCCCTACAAAATTTTTAATCGAGCTGATATTTTGAAAGGGCTCTCACAGCATAATAAACTAACAGATTTTTACAAGAGACAAGAAAAAAAAATATATTCTTTTTTTTTGGGACACCCTACTGTACAATCTACAACATTTTATAATTAGATGGTAACAAATTAAAGGTATTTAAAAATATTAAAAGCGCAACTTAATAGGAACTTTGATGCATTGTTGCGGAATTAAAGAAAAAAAAGTATTGTACATGTAATTAATTTTCTAAATAAATATCTCCGAAATATTCTATTGTAAAAATAAGTAGGTACCTAATAACAAATGTTTTTTTTCAAAACTTTTGAGGATTATTGTTGCATTGGTACATACTTATTATCCATGTGGCTTTTTAAAACTTTTATGATTACATGAACAATCGCGGGTCCTGAGTTCTCAATCTTATTTATTTTTAAAAATCATTAATTTTTGTGTTCTTGTAGAGAAAGTATTGCATAATATTAGTATTTTTTCGTAAATAATGATAATGGTATATTATTATACGAGAGATAATGCAGGCTATTATTCACGAGGATGAGGTTTGCGTCTCGAGTCGCCAGACGAGAGGATTAAATCATCTGAGTGAATAATGCGCATAATCTCGAGTGTAATACTATACTTTATCTACTCCAATAAGTAGATAATTAAATGATTTTTAAAAATAAATAAATAAAACCTGACATCTGTCAAATGGTTATCCTTACTTTTTACTAATTTTAAATGTTTTTATAGTCGCCTTCTACCAATTTAAAACCTGATTGGTTCAAATCACAGTGAATATTGAAATCGGCAAATCACAGATGCCTAACAAAGTGAATAATGAGTACATTATTCACGTTGTTAGGCAGGGATTTTATAATGTTTATTATTATTTACGAAAAAAAAACAACATTATGCAATAGATAAACAAGATAAACATAAATTCCCTGCCTAACAACGTGAATAATGAACTCAATCACGTTGTTAGGCTTCAGTGATTGGCCGATTTCAATATTCACTGTGATTTAAGTATTATGCGCATTATTTCTAGTATAATAATATATTATTATTCACTTCTCTAAACTCATTAATTACACAGTCGCTTCGCGAGCTTGCTTAATAGATCCTCGTGACTAAAATGCCGTTTAAAAAACTTGTTGCATAATAGACTTGACTTATAAATTGGTTCCGATTAGGTTCAAAAGCGATCTCGCATTTTTTTACGAGTTGAGAATGTTGATTTTTTATGAAAATTTCTTGCATTCAATTTTGAGACGTTTTAAAGAAATTATTCCGATAAAAGTGAGAAAAATTGACGTACCTGCATATGTGGCTGGTGCATCAGCGGCGTGCTGTGGTGCTGCTGGTGCGGGGCCATCGTCGGTATGTAGACCTGGGGGCCGTAGCCGGTACCGCTGGGCGCCAGTCCAGCCGACTGGCTGCCGTGCAACGTGCCGGTAAACGGGGGTGGCGTGCCCGAGTGGAATCCCTGTTTTTCATACGACTGTCGGTCAACGAGAGAAAGAAACACACACCGGTTAGGTGGACGCAAACATCATAACAACTCAATCAGACTTAAGAGTTAGTGAGTAATATTTTTTTTATAAACATGAGATTCATTCACAAAATAAATGTAAACACATTAAGCTGCGTACACTCAGCTTATTTTTATACGTTTTGTAAATGTGGATGTAACACTAGTGATGTAACGAATATTTTCACGATTTTTGCAAAAAATTTATGCGAATGTTTCATTATTTACTTCACTACAAGAATAAAAATAATATATATATATATATATATAATTGAATAGGTAAGATTAAGAACAGTACAATCCGAAAAGATAAAATTTCGACAAAATATTTCATAAAATCAGTTTTATGGTTTAAAATGCATTTTTAGCTATTTCATAAAATAGTTAAATTTTGTAAAATAATTTATGTTTAATATTAATATTCTTTATATTTTGTACAAAAATGCATTTTAAACTTTAAAATTGATTTCAGAAAATGATTTGTCAAAATTATAATATTGGACATGTAATATTCTTAATCTCACTGATTCAATTAAAATCCATTCGTTTAGTAGGTAGCCCAAACTAACTGGGAGTTTTTATTAGTTGGGCTACAATCAGGGTTGGAAAAAACATGTTTTTATTCTTTAAATAAAATCCAACCCATTGGGTTTTTTTGGGTTTTAGAAGTGGGTTTTGTTGTTTTTTTAATTCTTTACAGGTTTTAGTAAAAAAACAAAATTTAAAAAGAAATACTGTCGATAAGAAAAATTCAAATATATTCACTACCTTCTCCTTCACAACTTATTTTCGCAATCGTTTGTCAACTAGAAAATGCATAAGTGTATAGAGAATCAGGGAAACCACTGAATTTTAAAATACGTTTTGTTTGGCCATTGGTTTAATCGTTTCTCAGCTTTAGATTGTACAAGAAAAAAAACGCAATATTCAACAAGCTTTCCATAAAATTTTGGAATTGTCAAATCTCAAGAAAAAGAATAATTTGACAGATGACATAACCTCAAATTTAAAGAAAATGGCGGCAACCACAATCCACACAACAAGTTCTGTTCTATAGATACGAGATCTCGTTTCGTGCATACTAAAAATCAATGCAACACTGAACATAATCTAATGGCGGCCATTTTTATGTTGTTTACAATTTTTGTGCTTTGGGTTTGTGCTGTTTATACAGATTATTAATCGTTTTAAACATTGTTTCCTACAGAAGCACTTATAAGCCTCAAATGAGGCATTAAAGTGCTAAGAACATAAATTTTACTCCTCTTTTGGTTAATATAAACCTTATTCTATGAGGACAGCCAAATTTCAATTTTAAGGTTAATTTACCATAACCCACAAATTTAAAGTTTGATGACAGTCCTGATAGAATTAGGTTTATTTTTTACAAGAGGAGTAAAATGGTTGTTCTTAGCACTTTAATGCCTCATTTGAGTGCCTCTGTAAAAAACACAACGTTTAAAACAATTTTTAATCTGTATAAACAGCACAAACCCAAAGCACAAAAATTGCAAACAACATAAAAATGGCCGCCGTTAGATTCTGTGCAGAGTTGCAGTGATTTTTAGTATTCGCGAAACGAGATTGAACAGAACTTGTTGAGTGGATTGTGGCGGCAAGCTTGAAAAGTTGACATTCGCATTCGCAAATGTGTGAAAATTGACATTCGTTACATCACTACATAAGAGTGAACGTACGCATATTTTACCATAAGCCTACGGCCGCATGCTTTTGCTAAGAGTGTACGCAGCTTTAAAGGCTACAAGATTAATTGAGGCGTGGAAGTACCAAAGGTACGTTAGAAACATAGTAAGGGTACATACTATGTTTTTTAACGAAAAATCTCAACAAAAAAATGGCACACCCCCCTTTGGTACTTCCACACCTCAATTAGAAAAATTAAAAAAGTTTAAAAACAGTATTTATTTACTGTATATTAGAATTTATACATTAGGATTTTTTAAAATTGTTTGCTTCTGTAAGTATATATTTTTAAACAAGTTTTATAGGGTACAAAACATTTTTTCATGTTAATTATTTTTTTAATACTTAATTCTTAAATAATTAATAAAAATATGAAGAAAAACTGTTAACGAACCAAACATATTTATATTTTTAAATCGGTCCGTTTTTAAATAAATACCGAATTGTCGCCAAGCAAAATGAAACCCACTGTACAGGGTGTCCCAAATTGGTTGTCCGTATAGGCTATCTCAGTAAATATAAATGCTAAAAAAAAATTCGACCACGCATCCCTGTCGTCTTTTTTAAAGATACATCGGTTGATGTCTTTGAATTTTTTCGATTCGCATTTGTTTAGGAGATATACCTATTTTTTCAATTTTTGCCAATTTTGACAAATGCTTGTAGCTTCGTTAATATTTGAGTTACGAATACAGGTTTAAAATATTATGTAGGCACTTTTTATCATAGAATTCATTAGTGTAGACAGATTTTATTTAGCTCTTTTAGGTTAAGAGATATAACCCTATATGGACAACCAATTTGGGACACCCTGTACAGTGATTAATATTAATGTAATAAATTATTATTGCAAAAATTCAAGTTGAGATTCCTTTCATGAAAATAAGAAAAAAACTTTCTATTAACTAATTTACGGAAATGCTTTGTTTTTGAAATACCTTGTTGATTTTTTTTTTGAATTTTCTTTAATCTGATTTTTTCTTATACCCTTATTCATAAAGTTGCATTGTTATTGTTTTAGTTGATTTTTTTAGATATTAGAACTAAATCCAAAACTGTTTTTGTTGTTATTTTCATTAAAGTAATCTTTTTCTATATTAATGAACTCTGAAAAGGTAAAAAATTGTTTCCTAAAACAAAAAATATCAAAAAAATTCTCGGGAAAAGTTTTTGCTAAATATTTTTAAAATGTGATATTTTAAATCTATCAAATTTCTTGCACCTAAACAAACAATTTTACACGGTGTGCCTGAACGTGGTTTAAATCACATAAAAATGCCGCCAAAAACTAAATGATATTTACCAAAATCCTAGCTGCTCGTCTTTTCGAAATTTTTTGGTAATTCATGATTTAAAAAAAAAATTTGGAGATAAAAATCTTTTTTGTGCATTATGCTTTTTACTATATAAAAAAGTATGAAAACATTATTCTCTATGTCTTGTTAATAACAATATCCTCCAATAAGAATCGGTGTACAAATGTGTACTCTGGCAAAGGTAGACTTTGCGATAAACAAATATTACAAATTAAAAAAAAGCAGTTAGAATTTTGGTAAATATCGTTTTTAAATCACCAAAGAGTGCCGATCAAAAAACTTCAACCAGTTTTTTGTTCAAAATTGAAAACTACTGAAAAGCCCAAATTAAAGAACATTTTAAATGTTTAAGTGTTTAAAGCGTTATTTTATTTAATTTTATTAAAAATCTATTTTTCTTATAAAAGGTTAATAAGAATGCCATTTTGTAACCTGATTGAAATATTTAAAAATAAATGGGAAAAATCTTATGCCAAAACCACAATCCACACAACAAGGTCTGTTCTATCTCTTGCTAAAAATACTAAAAATCACTGCAACACTTCACAGAGTTTAACGGCGGCCATTTTTGTTGTTTACAATTCTTGTGCTTTGGGTTTGTGCTGTTATAATAATTGTTTTAAACGGTGGGTTTCCTACAGAGGCACTTGTAAGCCATAGACAATTGCAAGGGATTGGTTGGGTGGGGGGGGTTTAGTAAGCCTCAAATAAGGCCTTTAAGTGCTAAGGACAACCATTTTACTCCTCTTTTATAATAAATATACCTTATTCTATCAGGGCTGTCAAATGACAATTTGAAGGTTAATTTGTGAGTTATAATTTAACCTTAAAATTGACAATTGACAGTTTTATGACAGCCCTGATAGAATAAAGTTTATTTTTTACAATAGAGGAGTAAAATGGTTGTTCTTAGCACTTTAAGGCCTCTTTTAAGGCTTACTATGAGAAACACAACGTTTAAAACAATTATTAATCTGTATAAACAGAGAACAAACCCAAAGCACAAAAATGTTAAACAACAAAAATGGCCGCCGTTAAACTGTGCAGTGATTTTTTGTATTTTTAGTACGAGATAGAACAGACCTTGTTATGTGGATTGTGGCCAACCCTGTATATATCAAATGATGTGAACGGTATTAAGTAGTAAGTATTCTCTAAGTCTCCTTAATAATATACTCCAATTTTATAAAAATCGGTGTACAAATGTGTACTCTGTCAAAGGTAGATTTTGAGATACCTAAACCAAATTAAAAAAAAACTTTCAAGTAATTTTGAAAAGAGCAGCTAGGATTTTGGTAAATATCATTTTTAAGTCACCAAAGGGTCCTGAACAAGAAACTGCAATAATTTTTGGCGGAATTTTTATGCGACTTAAACTTCGTTCAGGCACACCGTTTTTAATGCTTTAAATTTAACATTTTAATGATAAAACAAAAATATCAAAAAAACCCAAAATCGTATTGTATTATTTGTTTTGTAATTTTTCTTAAACTTAAACTTATTAAAAAACAAACAAACAGACTCTCCAATCAAAAAGCAACAGCAAAACTACTTACGTTGACTTTGCCGAGCGCGGCGTGCGACTTGCCGTACATGGCGCTGAGATCGTTGCCGGCCGAGCCCGTCGTCGACGCGTTACCGCCGCCGCCGCCGCCCTTCTGCGCCTGCGCGGCCGCCGCCGCGCTGCTCGCGTAGCCGCCCTTGCCGTATTCCTGCGTCTGCCCCAGCGGGTCGTACGTGCCGTAGCCGGAGTAGCCGGCGCCCGGTTTCGGGTACTGGCTGCTGCTGTTGGTGCCGTGCGCGTTTGTCGCCGCAGGCAGTTGCTGAATCGAAGAAACATTGCTTATAATATTTCAAAAAAATATTTTAAATAACTGGTTTGTAAAAAAAAGTATTTGTAAATCCTTGTGTAGCACTGACATGACAACAAAATATGCCAATGTTGTTCAATGATCACTTTAATATAGGAAGACAGTATCGGCTAATTCCAATGCTCTAAGGAACTCAACCTTCTTGATCTTCCATGTATAAATAAAAAAATAAACAATTTTATACTTTAACCATGGTTAGTATAGGGTTTTAAAATTTCCGAAAAAAAACAGTATTTGATTTTTGAACATTTTTCTTAAATTACTTACATAAAAACATGATTTTTCTTCTTATAATTTTAGGTTCTTGTATTTCGTGCTAATAGGCATCGGTACCAGTTTTTATGCAGCGTCCGTAATAATCAAAAATTGAGAGTAAAAACTACCGTAATTATTATGCTTATAAGCTTAAGATTAATTATTACAAGCATAATAAACATGTTTGCAATAGTATTTAAGTTAATTACGGTAGCTTTTACTTACAATTCTTTATTATTACGGACGCTAAAAAAATTAAATAAATAAATAAAAATTGGAACATTTTTAGAAAAATTTACTTTTTGCATTTTTTCATTTTATTTACAATTACAATTCGAAAAAAAAACAAGTCAATTTTTCTGAAAATTTACAAATTGATATCGAGAAAAAAGTGAATTTTCGACTTTTCTTATATGCATATAATATGCATATAATATGTATTATGATTATAATATTCGGTGCTGTATTAATATAAATATCGTTTTATTTGACACATTCCTTATTTTTTAATGGTTATTCTCAATGGACTTCCTCGAAACTCGAAAAGTAAATACATAATAATGTAAAAATTGGTAAGTTTGGGGTCGCTAATCACGAATTTGATATTAAAATTATCAAATTCAAAATGTCGGACCAGAAATGGCACTTTTTTTTTAATTAATTAGTTATCACCCGGAAAATGTTAATTTTTGGGTTTTTGGGGTCGCTGATCACGAATTTGATATCAAAATTATCAAATTCAAAATGGCAAACCAATAATGGTGGAAAAAATTTTGTTTAACACTTTCACTGCTGACTGAGAAAGCCTTAACGACCCCCTGGTGCCGAAATATTTTTATTTAGAATTTCTGTAAAATTCGTTTACACTTACTTTACACTTTAATAAATTACATAAGATAAGCTATGGTTAAAATCAGTGCCCGTAGGGCCATTACGGCTTGGGCCGTCAAGCGACCTGAGCACCTAAAATTATTTTTAAGATAATAAGTTAAAATCGATTGTCTTTCTCTGTTTAAGTACGCTATTTTCACTTACTTAACAAGACATATTGACTTAATGTCACTAAATTTTTAATAAACATTTTGTTATACTGAGGCCTCTTGATTTGTAACAGTTTAAAAAATATATTTGATGATAACGGTTTAAATGCGAATATTTTAGAAACGGTTGAATTAGGTATATCGTTTGTTATATAAATTATGCTTAGAATTTTACACGGAATCGAAAAATAAATTCATATATAGGGTGATCCATTGAGAAAAAATAAACTTTTTGTTTTTCCCTGTATATTGATAAATTTTCCAATTTTTTTATACATAGAAAAAAATGTATTTTTTAGTTCCTACATAACCTCACTCTAAAATTGTTTGGGACACTTAAAAGGGGGCGACATTATAGGGGATCACCCTGTACAATGTACAGGGTGATCCCCTATAATGTATGTACAGTGTACATACATGCAATTTAAAAATAAAAGTCAGGTTCTATGTTTTTAATTAATATATATTTTAATAATTTTTTTTTTCTTTTAAATAAAGTCAATTATTTTTTTTAAACGTGTTATTTTAAATTAAATATAATTACATTTAAATGTAATAAAAAAATCAAACAATTATTATTTCTTAAATTAAAGATTTTATATGCAAAAATAAAAATAATTGTTTCTATATGTCTTTTAGTTATCCTATAATAAAAATTTTATTATAAAATCTTAAAAAATATATTTACTAAGCCTTAAGTCGGGTCTACAATTGTCGCAGGGGTCTGATCGCAGAACATAAGCTTGCGCAAAGCACTCCGCGACGTGGCGATTGAGCAAAGTTCTTTTGTCAGCTGGGTGCTTTGCGCAAGCTTATGTTCTGCGATCTGCGACCTGCGACAATTGTAGACCCGGCTTTACTGCGACTAGTCGCGACTAGTGTCTAAAATACGGGCGCGGGCGTATTTTTATTAATTTTCTGTTTGTGCAGTCGATTTTTTAAGAACCTAATAATAGACAGTTCAATAAACATTTTCCTGTGAAAACCATTCTTTGCAAAGTACCACAACTCAACTTATTCATCGTGAAATAATCGAAAAAATTTCAAAATCAGGCCTATATGTTAATATAACTTTTAACAAAAAAAATCTTTTTTTTTTAAATGTAATTTTATCAAATTATTGTATATATACAGGGTGGTCCAGGATTAATCTGAAAAATTTTAATGATCGATAGAGCCTGAAAAAACAATAAAAACAAACCCAAAAACATTTTTTTAAAAATACACACTAACACACTAATAGCCCTTCAAAGGCAAAAAAACTTTTTTTTAAATAACTTCTGCTCAAATTTTGTGTACCTAGGTAAAATTTCTTACAAAAGGCCCAGCGGCGGATATTTTGTGGGGGTTTCCCCTTTTTACCCCCATATTTCGACACCCCTGGATTTTATTGGAAAATCATCAGATTTCTTATTCAATTTAGAAGCAAAACTTGTGTGTTAAATTTTAATAAGATCAGTGGTTTCGGAGACTTTAAAATTTCAAAAACACCGAGTACACGGAATTTTATCATATTTTATTTTAAATCGGTAACTTGGTAACAATTATGCCACGTTATCAGTTTATAAAATATTATAAAAATTAACTAGCGTCCAGGAGTCATCGTGCAGTTGTTACTGATCCCGTCATATTTTTAGGTTGTTTTATTGTAACGTTGATTGAGGATTACAATCAACGTCTGTAATTAATAATTTAATTGTATTATAATACAAAATCAAACCAACCCAAAAAACACCCTATTGAAAGTGATTATTCCATAATTTCATTGGTAAATTTTTATTGGCCCAATACAATCGTTCAGAAAAAAAAATAATTTTTTATTACTAAAATAATAACAAAAGTTCCGTGTACACAGTGTTTTTGAAATTTTAAACTGAAATATCTCCGTTGATCTGATAAAAAATAAACATAAAAGTTTTGCTTTTAGATTGAAAAATGAAAAAAATAAATCTGATGATTTTCTAATAAAATCCAGTGGCGTCGAAAATATGAGGGTAAAAAGGGGAAACCCCTCCCAAAATCTCCGCCACTGGGCCTTTTGTTCATTATATTATCGACGGAAGCTTAACCTACACAAAATTTGAGAAGAATCGGTTTAATGGTTTAAAAATTATTTTGAAGGACTATATCTCCGTTAGTATGCATTTTTGAAAAATGTTTTTGGGTTTGTTTTTATTATTTTTTCAGGCTCTATCGATCATTAAAGTTTTTCAGATTAATCCTGGACCACCCTGTATATACCTTAATAAACATTTTCCATGTTGTAATGTTAAAATTGAACACGGCGTTAACGAAATATTAGCACTTTAGAAACCAATTAAAAAACGCTATAATAGGACTGCCGAAGGGAGTAGGTAGGGCAATTTTATACCTGAACTCTATGTGTTTTAAATATTTCCAGCATCCCTCTACATGAGCGGATTTAAATAATTACATAATTATTAACTTTATTTTTAGGGTTTTGGCCAAGGTGAAGCCCGAATTGGACTAGTGTGCGACAGTTTATTTAACGTTCACGTTTATAAATCAATTAAATTTAATTCAATGTTTAGTTTTATTGTATTTTTTTCGGTAATAGCGGATTTTTTTTTAATTAATATAAAAGTTGTTGATTGCTACTTTCATTAAAATGTGTATATTTTACAAAAAAAAAAAATTCCGAAAAGAGACAATTCCCCCCCAATTTTTCGTTTTTTTTTTTCGACATTTTAAAACCCTGGTTAGTACCTTAGACCAAAAAGCCAAGGCACAAAAAACCGCACTTACCGTATACATCGTTCCAAACTGGTAATTCGGGGCGATCGTGTTGAAGGCCGTGGCGGCGAAGAAGTACGGAGGCGCTCCTCCAGCAAGTATCGGCTGCGCCTGGTGTCCCTGCGTCAGAGTGGAGGTCTGCTGCTGCGAGAGGGTAGACGGCACTGGCGAGGCGTTGTCGCCGCCTCTGGCGAACCGTCCGTCCGACGACATCGAGTAACCCACGTTGCCCAGGCCGGAGGCGTCGCGCACTGCTGCCAGCGTTGTCGGTGTCTGGTAACTCATGTCATAGTAGGGCGTCGTCTTGACACATGGAAAAACATACAAACGCACTTGTCACCCAACTCAGGAGAGCAACGATCAAAAACGACTTTTTCCTACCCACTTTCGATTTTTGTCTGTTTTTCTTCTTATTATGCACAACTATTTTATGCAACTTTGATTTTTTAGTTTATTAGTTATTGATATTAAGTAAACCAAATATTTGTTAAAAAGCACAGCATAACAATTACATAGCTATTATTGGCATTTTGAACATATTCAAAGAAACATTGCTAAATTTAATTTAATTATAATTTTTAGAATCCATTGTTTTTAAACCAAATTTAAAAAATGGAGACATTGCAAACATTATTGTTTATACTTTTATTTCTATAGTATTCATGTAAACAAAAAAGCCCATAAAGACAATAAAACATTTTTTATTTTTTTAAAGTTGTTAATTGTTAAAATTGTTTTGATGACTTTTTTGCTTAAATGGATACACGCCAATTCCACACTTTTGAACTCGACCCCTTTTGATTTGGCTGAAATTTGTAAACAATAGAAAAATTTAAGAGTTATTTTCAATTTTCTTACCCAACCTAAAATAACTTTATTAAAACCAATTAGGACCAATTAGGCCAGTAAAAGCGTATACCCCATAAATTTAAACCAGTTGAAATTTTATTAATTTTTTATTTAAAAGAGCATAAATTATACAGGGTGTCCCGCAATTAGTGCGACAAAATGAAGGTGTATTATCTAAAGACCCCCAGGAATTCCAGAAAATTGTTTAAAAAATTCTTTCTACATTATTTAATAAGATACAGGGGAGTCATCATGACAACAAACAACAATGTTAGAAAATGCCAAATTTAAATGTCAAAATTTGTTACTTTAAGCCTGAATTATAGATTGCTTTCCTTCCTTCCTCCCGTAGAAGATGAACATTACGTAATTGTCATCATTAACATTTCCCGTGTAGGAATTTTTAATACTTTGTGATAATATTTTGTAATTATAGTAATAAAAAAAATCAAAGAATAAAATATTTTCTTAATAAAATCATATTTTGAAGTTATTTTAATATTTTAAAGTATCAATAATTGTTAAGTTTATTTAAAATTAATAACGGGCAATGTTAAGCCTGAGTTATAGATTGCCTTCCTTCCTTCCTTCCTCCCGTAGAAGATGAACATTACGGAATTGTCACCATTAACATTTCCCGTGTAGGAATGTTTATTACTTTGTGATAATATTTTGCAATTATAGTAATAAAAAAAATCAAAGAATAAAGTATTTTCTTAACAAAATCCTATTTTGAAGTTATTTTAATATTTTAAAGTATTAATAATTGTTAAGTTTAATTAAAATTAATAACGGGCAATGTTAATGGTGACAATTACGTCAAAAATGTTTATTTAAATCGTAGTGCCAGTTATAGATTCCCGTACCGTAAGGATGGCATTCCTTCCTCCCGTAGAAATTTTTAAGATTTATCTTTCACCGTAAAGGTCTTTGACATGACCAATCACAGTGCTTGTTATGGACATGCGCTGTAGGGTGACAGCGCGTAGGCACAAAATATTTAAAATACATGATTGTTTAGTAAGATAGGTGTTCAGTTTATTAAATAATTTGTGTCTCTAAATAGGATATTTGGATATTGTTTATGATCAATGTCTTTCATTTTTAAAAACGTTGCTTTGTAAAACCCCGTAGTTTCCCGGTCTTGGTAAAGTGGGCGAGTCTTCCAACGTCTTGTTCGATGTTTTTTTTTCATTATACTGCCCTACTATGGAAAAAGGCAGTAACTACAAATGCGTTTTCTTGTGCTATGATAAAGCTATGGACATTTTGTACCTTAATTCAACAAAGAAATGCAGTAAACTATCTTTTAAGTTAAATAAATCAGTTAAATACCTACTGCTTTTTATAAAAATGTAGTTTATGCTAATTTCCTACAAATTTCTTGTTTAGCAGTTACTGCCTTTCTCCATAGTTGGGCAGTATACAACAAGCTGCCTGGGCAATTAAAATTGTGATCACTGCACTAATAAATAAATGATTATCTTTCATATTTACACACAAAGGGTAAAACGCAGAATATAAACAAAAACAAATGTCAACCATTTTAGCTGTCATCGCACATGGTTACGGAATTTTACACGGATATCTATAAATTGACTTTTTACAAGACGCACAAATCGTACGGGCACGACTACGGGAGGAAGGAAGGAAGGCAATCTATAATTTAGGCTTTAATGGTGACAATTACGTCAAAAATGTTTATTTAAATCGTAGTGCCAGTTATAGATTTCCGTATCGTAAGGACGGCATTCCTTCCTCCCGTAGAAATTTTTAAGTTTTACCTTTCACCGTAAAGGTCTTTGACATGACCAATCACAGTGCTTGTTATGGACATGCGCTGTAGGGTGACAGCGCGTAGACACAAAATATTTAAAATACATGATTGTTTAGTATTATTTAAGGTAGGTGTTCAGTTTATTAAATAATTTGTGTCTCTAAATAGGATATTTAGATATTGTTTATGATCAATGTCTTTCATTTTAAGAAACGTTGCTTTGTAAAACCCCGTAGTTTCCCGGTCCGGTTCGATGTTTTTTTCATTATACTGCCCTACTATGAAGAAAGGCAGTAACTACAAATGCGTTTTCTTGTGCTATGATAAAGCTATGGACATTTTGTATCTTAATTCAACAAAGAAATGCAGTAAACTATCTTTTAAGTTAAATAAATCAGTTAAATACCTACTGCTTTTTATAAAAATGTAGTTTATGCTAATTTTCCACAAATTTCTTGTCTAGCAGTTACTGCCTTTCTCGATAGTTAGGCAGTATACAACAAGCTGCCTGGGCAATTAAAATTGTGATCACTGCACTAATATATAAATGATTATCTTTTATATTTACACACAAAGGGTAAAACGCAAAATATAAACAAAAATAAATGTCAACCATTTTAGGAGTCATCGCGCATGGTTACGGAATTTTACACGGAAATCTATAAATTGACTTTTTACAAGACGCACAAATCGTACGGGCACGACTACGGGAGGAAGGAAGGCAGGCAATCTATAATTTAGGCTTAAGTTATAGGTTATTTATTTTACGTCAGGCAGGGACTCCCTGTATTTTTTTCTATCCAGTCTGACGTAAAATAAATAACCTATAACAAAGTAACAAATTTTGACATTTAAATTTGGCATTTTCTAACATTGTTGTTTGTTGTCATGATGATTAAGAATTAAACTATTACTTTGTTATGAGGCAATGTTGCCTTATAAAGAAAATATTACTCCCCTGTATCTTATTAAATAATAAAGAAATAATTTTTTTAAACAATTTTCTGGAATTCCTGGGGGTCTTTAGATAATACACCTTCATTTTGTCGCACTAATTACGGGACACCCTGTATAATTTATGCTCTTTTAAATAGAAAATTAATAAAATTTAAACTGGTTTAAAATTGCGCTTAAAATAGACATATTTTTAAAGAAACGTCGAAATGTTATAAATGTCCAATGGATTAATTTACTTAAAGTAAATGGTATTTTATATGAAATTTTAAAAGCTACAAAAGAAATTTTTTGCTAAAAAACATGCGCAAAGGGGTAAAAAGGAGAAAACCATTTTCCAGAAAATTGGTCAAGGTTTTTTAATTATATTTAATTAACAGCAAATCGGATAGCAAAATATGTTTTATAAAAAATGTAGCTCTAAATTACGAGTATTTTCCCCTCCGACAAACGCTTCGTAAGTTATAAAAAGAAAAACGTTAGGTATTTTTTTAAAAGTATTGGGTACCCTATATAAAATTTACACTTTTACTAGCCTAAATCAATTTAAAAAAATTGTTTTAAACGTACTTTTCAGAAAAAAAATAACTTATTATTTTTTTAAATACTTTTATTTATTCTGCTTTTATTGGTCAACTTTTCTTTCTATTTTTTAATAGAAATTTCAATCTAACTTTTTTATAATAAAATAAATTTAACTAAATATTTAAACATAAAGATATAAAAGACCAGAGTTCAATCCTTAGTAACATCATAACTTTTGCATTTATTTTTATATAACTTATTTTAATGATTTAATGAACTAAAAGTTCATTATTTGAAGTGAAAAATTTGACTTTTTTAATAAAAAGTGACAAACTGAAAATATGTTTAAAACACACAAAAAATGAAAAAAGTATCAGTTTTAAAAAAAGTTATAGGGATTTTAAAAAGAACTTTTCTTTTTTAAATCGTAAAATTTATTTGGTCGGGTAAAATTAAAAAAAAAATAACAGAAATGTTTTTAGTGGAGTGGAGCCAAATTAAAAGGGGAGTGCAAAAGTGATTGATTTGGCGTGAAATTCTCCATATACAGTCTTTTCCAGCAATCAAATAAGTAGTTTAATCTGAAATAGAGATGGCAGAGCACTTTTAAAAATGTCCATAAATGCTCGAACATTTAAACACTTAAATTATTAGTGATGATGGGAAAAATTATTTAAAACAATATCGAGCACTTTTAAAATCGCTCGAGCGCTTTTAAGCTTCTCTAATCTGAAATAATAATAAAGTTTATAAATTTGTGGTCTGGTGTTTTTAGGAACTTTTCCAATCATGATATAAAAATAATTAAAAAATGATTTTAATGTATGTATCATGTTAACTTTTAGGGCAATCAGAATTTCAAATACATTGACTGTTTTTATGAAATTTAGAAAAAAATGCTCTTGGTTTTGACCTCAACGTATCAACATTCAGAGCTTTGTATTGGATGTTTAATTAAAATCTGTCATATTATGTAAAAAACCTGTAAAAATTAATTAAAAGGAAATTTACTGCTTAGGTGTAAGATAGTTGTTAATGTTAATATTATATTTAAATGCTAAATATTTTTCTGTTCCAATCGAGTTCCAATAAAATAATAATGTCACAAATAAGATAATTGTTCTTAATGTCTTTAAAACGATTAATGCAATTGAAACCTTATTTCGAAGAAATATTTTGCAAACTTGCATAATACTTAAGTTACTTTATTAAAAAATAAACTACCCCTTTTAAACTAAACTAAGCAATGTTACTCTAAAAATGATAATATTCATATTATATATCAAGCAAAGTAATTAATAATAATAATATTAATAAATAAGTACATCTAAAAGGAATAAGGGTAAGCTTGCTACCTCAATTGATTAGACAAAAAAATAAACCGTTAAATACCAAAAACTTCTTATTTTTTATACTGACAATGAAAAATAAGTAATAGTGATAAAAATCCCAAAGCCAAGAACTAACAGAGCATAAATTTAAAAGCAATAATCCCTAAGAGATGATTATCTTTATAAAACCACATTAAAAAATGAAAAACATTGGGTTATACAGCACATTGGGGTGAGTCATTTTGATGTTATGAGAGTGAGAAGAAGTTTATATGCGACGAAATTACCAGCAACAAATTTCAAACCATACCATTACCAATACAAACTTTTGTTGCTGATTACTCGTAGGTTATCCAAATAAAGCTTAAGCTATGCCTCACTAACACATCGACAACAAAAAATTATTATTCTTTAGCTGGATGAAAAAAGGTTTATTAATGGAAATTTCAAACCAACTAACTCTTCACTTGGTAGATGTTAATTATCTTGCACCAACCCTTTTTCATGCAGTTATATATTAATGTAACTATATGTACACTAAGTTGCAGCTAGTTTAAACTATGGCTAATAATTAGTACTAGCAGCTAAATGCAAATAATAGAATTAGTCTTTGTGTTAGTGCCTAATTTACCAAGGAAGTATCTAGTTTTTAGGTGAACCTATTATTTAAAAATTAAGGTACCAAAGGTATATTTAGGAATTAGTAATTTTAAAAATAGCTAGCTGGAACAATACTAAAACTTTCTTGGCAAATACTTAAATAATAGTATATATAAATATAAGGTCAATAAATACAGAATAAATTATTAATAAAAGCGTTCAAAATTGTAACGTTTCTATTATTTTTACTATGTATTTTTATGAGAATGAAATGCAAAGCACACCACAGTAATGCAAAGTTGTTATTTTATGAAAAAATGTTAAAAGTTAAATTATTTAGCTTTAAATGCAACAAAATGGAAATATTGATATTTTAAATATTTATTATTTTTACAATTAAAATTTACCTTGAAATTTACTTTAAAAAATGTATATATAATTCAAATAGAAAAACAAGATTTGCCTATTTTTTAAAGCAGATCAAAAAATAGTCGGTTCCATTTTTTGATCAAACAAAAAAATACTAGACTGATCAAAAATGTGTTTTTTAAAGAAGTCTTTTAAGCTATAAAGAAACATACCATGTGTGGAAGTCTTTGCTGCAACAATTGCATGTCCTCGTAAGAGTACACAGGTTGCTGGAAGTACGGGACTTGTCCCATGATGTAGGGTGTGCTCATGACTGGTGCGACACCTGGCGGGATGTTGGAAACCACGCTATTCGAGTTTTTGGCAGCTAAAATTTATTTAATAAAAACGTTACATAAAGGTTTTTTAAAGGTTAATAAATGTTTTTGTGTGTGTGGTAAGTTCAGACGCCAAAAAATCGATCTTTCTAAATTGTTTTCACGAAAATTTGTGGATTGTAAAACAAAAAACTTGTTAGACAATTAAAACTTTCGTTTCAGCAATCCAGTCAGTCTCGTCATCGTTTCATCATATAAAAACATTAAACTATAAAGTTTGATTTAACTAAAGATAACACACTACAAACAAAATAAAAAATTCTGTTTGTGCAGGGTGGTAAACATTTAATTCATAGGCTACATGATTTTTGAATTTAGCGTTAACAAGTTAATGGCAGCACAACCCACATAACACAATATGTTTTAAAAATGTTGTCAGGCCGTTTGGAGAACAATATTTACAAATAAAAGGTTGATGAAATGTTGTAACATTCAGAGAAAAATATGTCCATAACTGTTAAGCGTTAATATTTCTGAAACATTCATAAATATCACGTAAATATGTCCATAACTGTTAAGCGTTAATATTTCTGAAACATTCATAAATATCACGTAAATATTTTTCAAGATTTATTTTTCAATTTTATGTAAATATTATTTCCTAAATATTGTTAAATATATTTATAAACTTTTTGAAAGGTTCATTAAAAGTTTCCTGATGTAAGCGCCCTCTTGATAAAAGGGTATCTTTTGTCTGATGCTAGGCCACTAAAGTCATCTACAAAGTTAAAATAATAAATTATCCAGATATGGATTTTATTTATTTTTATTGTTTAGATTATTATTGCTATTTAATGGCAGTATATTGAACCGCGGCGGTACCTTCAAATTTGATTGCCACCCTATTGAAGACGATTAGATTAATCGGTAAATTTCTTAACAAAAGACAAGCATAAACCTAATAAAATGGTAGAAAACCAAAAATATTATTGTTTTTTAAATTAATATATATATTTAATTAATATACACTATTGGACAAAAGTAAAGCAACAACTGTATAAAAAATCTAACCCCAAAACGCCTTTATTAATCTTTAAGAAATTTTGGATAAAAATACTTGAACTTAAATCTCAGTTTACGTGTTTGAGGGTTTTTAAAAAAATATTTTTAAAGCCCATTTTTTTAATATTAAAAAAACCTTCGAAAAATAATTTTTACGGAAATTTTTTTTCAAGTAAATAAAAAATATACTGTTAAAAACCGTATTTTTGTTAGTATACCCTGAAAATTTTGTACAAATCAAATGAACAGTAACGAAGATACAGCGATTCAAAGTCGTCAAAAATGACCACTTTTCAGCAAAATAATCAAAAAAGGGTAATTTTTACAGACTTTGAAGCGCTGTATCTTCGTTACTGTTCATTTGATTTGTACAAAATTTTTAGAGTATACTAACAAAAATACGGTTATTAACAGAATATTTTTTATTTACTTGAAAAAATTTCCGTAAAAGTTATTTTTCGAACGTTTTTTTAATATTAAAAAAATAGGCTTTAAAAATATTTTCTCAAAAAACCCTTAAACACGTAAACTGAGATTTAAGTTCAAGTATTTTTATCCAAAATTTCTTAAAGAATAATAAAGGCGTTTTGGAGTTGGATTTTTTATACAGTTGTTGCTTTACTTTTGTCCAATAGTGTATATATTCCCGAGCGGGATTGAACCGAAGACTTAAATTAAATTCTGTTTAGCCTCCATCTGGAAAAATTTAGAAACCGAAACTGCGACAGAAAATGAAATTTTTCCAGAGTTTTGGCAATGGCTGGCTCAAGGTAAATTTAGAAAAAGCAAGAAAAAAACTTAAAAAGAAAAACCAAAACTGTAGAAAGAAAAATATTCTTTTATTTCTGTAAATTTTTCCAAATAATTTTTGTTTTACATATTCCACTTTTATTTATGTCGATTATTTTTAAAATAAAGTATTTTTATTTAAATATTTTTATTAAGACATATACTAAATTTTCTTGTATTTTTAGCGTGCAAAACATAGATCTCCAGCTATGGTATTCCACTGTGTTAGTGTATCTAATATGAGAATACCATACCCCATCTACTTTTTGCAGTGTGCAAGAAAATTCAGTACACAAAAAGTATCACACGGATTTTATAAATATAAAAGCAACATTTTATAAACATTTACAACATTTTTAAAACAAATACGCAATGAACTGTAAATATTTAAAAAATATTTTTAAATATTTTTGTGATGTTGAGGAAATATTCATAAAATATACGGTAATGTAAACATTTACAAAAATGTTTTAAAAATGTTGTAAAGAAATATTGTATAAATATAAAAAGTGTGACATCCAAATAATGTACAAACATTATTTAGGCATGACTAATATTTCTAAAATATTTAGGTTATTTAGCAAAAATATTCATTAAATATATTTTTGTGTTAGTGGGTGTAATAAACATTTAAAACATTTATTATTTCTCGACTTTTCCAAAGAATGTTTGTTTTACTTATTTCACTTTTATTTATGTCAATTATTTATAAAATAAACTATTTTTTTAAAGATTTTTATTAAGACGTGTACTAAATTTTCTTGTATTTTTAGCGTGCAAAAAATAGATCTCCAGCTATTCCACCCATTACATCAGTGAAAAAGTCTGACAGTTTGATAAATGTTGATTTTCGATTTTTTATTTTTCGATATTTTTAAAAATCCCTTTCTGGTAAATTTAAATTTTTTTTAGATTACTTGTTCAAAAGATATCAGATTTTTAAAACAATCGCGATTTTTGTTTTTTTGCTGCTAATTTCTTTAATAATGGTCCAAATTGAAATTTTTATTTCTTAAAATTTTCGTGTTTCAAAATTATCCAAGGAATATTTGCATGCAAATTTTGAGTTTTAAAATTTAAATTTTAAAATTGTTTGTATTCTTGGATTTCCTCAAATTTTTTACTCTAATCTTCTACCACTCAAGAAATTTTAAGCCGAGGTTGATAGAGGGATTATGAAAATTAGGTGAGAAGGCGACCTAAACTCAAAAAAGTATTAATTTTGAACGTCTGATACTGGTAAAAAAACAATTAAAAACAAACAAATGTGTCATGCAATAAAAATATCTTCCTTCCGCCCACTAGAAAATGAGTAATTCGATAATCTTTAATTTCTCAGTAAAAATTAAAAAATAAGTCACATTAACATAAAAAATTGTAATTGAAAATTTCAAAATACTCATTACAAATTAAAAATGAGCAATGTAAAAAAGAATACATTACTCATTGGAAAAAATGTAATGAGTAATTAATTTAATTTTCATTAAAAATAATAATGTGTGTTGAAACCTTAAGGCAAAAAAATAATTAATTATTTGCAACCCTGAATGTATCTAAAACATTTACAAAAATGTTTTAAAAATGTTGTGAATAAATATTGTATAAATATAAAAAGTGCGACATCTAAATGTTGTAAAAACATTTTAGAGGCATTTAAATGATAATGACTAATACCTATTTCTAAAATATTTAGGTTATTTAGCAAAAATATTCATTTAATATTTAAAATATAATTTTGTGTTAGTGGGTGTAATAAACATTAAAAACATTTGTGATTTTTCGACTTACCTAGCGTCGTCGTGGACTTGGCGCTGGCCGCCGTCGTCGTTTGCGACAGCGACGACAGCGCAGTGGCGGACGTCACGTTGTTGGCGGTGGATTGTCCGCCGCCGCCGCCGCCACTGTTGGCTGCGGCGCTCGCCGACGAACCGGTGCCGTCGTACGAGTTTTCTTTCAGCTTGTTGCCCGCCGCCGAAGCCGACGAGCCGTAGTTGTTGTACTGCGACGCCGACGACGTTTGGCCGTAGCCCGAGCTATTGCTCAACCCTAAGAAGAAAAGGCGATTTTACAGTCATTTAAAATACTTAAATAAAGAGGATGTTTGCTATATTTAGTTAGTCAGATGCCTGAGTATAACTCTTTTGAAATGGAATCCAAAAAAGACCGCGCAAGTGCAATAAATGACTTATCGCAAATGATGGTCGATTTTAAGATAAAATTTCTCAGTCTCGTCATCGTTTCATCATGTAATTTAATAAAATGTATTTTTACAGGGCACTAGCAAGTTCCAAAAAATACATGACTGCTAAAGTGTTTAGTATGGAACGCCAAAGCGTCTTTTATTCAGCAATTTGTAAATTAAACGGCTCTACCATACATTTCAAATGAACGATGACGACATCGTTTCATCATAGGAATAAATTTGCTTTAAAAGAAAAATAAGCATTTGAAATAGTGTAGCATAGCACTTTAGGGCGCCGATAAGTGCCACTGATCTTAAGGTGGTATTGATTGTTAGCAGGTGGCGTTTCTTTAATTAAACAACAGTACTAATTACAGAACTAGCCAGCAAGACAAGATGGAAATATCAAACTTGACTTAGTTTAAAACGTAAATCAAAATCTAAAATATTAATCAGTTCATTAAAATTAAAGTTATAATTAAATAGAAATAAGATTTACCACAAATCTTAAAAAATTATGAAAACCCAATGGTCAATATAAAAACAGTTCCAAAAATTGTTTTCTTAAGAAAACAATAAAGTCATAAATAAACAGAAATTTCTTAAAAAACACTATGTGAAAAAAAAATAAGTATTATTGTTCATCATTAAAAATTATGAAATATAAACAAAAACACGTTTAAACCAGAAAAATTAAATGCTATGTTAAGTTGTATTCCGTAATTATTTTTTGATAGGAATCGAGGTTTTAGAACAAATTTTTTAAGCATTGTTTAGTATTTTGTACCAAAATGAAAGTTATTATAGATAGTTTGGTATTTTTTACCTAAACGTCTCCTACCAGGAACCTCTTCATTTTCACTGGAACTTTCGTCCCAGTTGATAATTTAAAAATATTGTGTATAAAAAACACCTAAACAATAGAAAAAGTTTGGTTAGAATAACCGACAGACGAGACTACCGCTTTTTGACAACATTCCAAAATTAGTTCGTTTCTATCAACCGCTAACCGGTCATCAAAAAATAATTTCGGAACACAACTTTAAGCTTCATTCAAAACCTCGAAATTGGTGGAAAAAATTAGTGGTTTCAATTATACTTAAGGCCGTATTACAGCCGGCAATTCTTCTTGCAGCAATTTTTCTTGCCATCAGGTTTTCAAGGCGGTATTGCATGTTGTTTTACAGTCAGCAATGGCAAGACTACTTGCTGTTTATTACCGTGCTACCAACCGAATAAAAATATACGATTTTGTAAACACTAAGTTTATTTGTTATTTAGTGGATATATTTAAAAATTAATGAGTGAAATGGATACTAGAACTTTGAACACAATGCCAATCATAAAACAAATAACCTTAAACTGTTTAAGTCAAACAGCGTCTCTCGAGGGAATTTGTAGTAGGGTTGGTAACATAAAAGTTACCAGATTTCACCCCAGAATTGCCGTAAAACGGCAATAAAAATCCATTCGGACCGATTTTCGACAATTGCAAGAGATTCGTCGAAATGTATCTACCGCGCATGCCTACGGCAATTTTCATTGCAATTGCCGAAAGAATTGCCGGCTGTAATACGGCCTTTATAATTAACACAAAACGATCATTCACAATGCGCAAAATTAACATCTAAAATTAAGGGAATTTGCTAAAAGATTGTCCATTTTTCTTAACCTGGCATAAACAATATTAATTATATTAAAATAATATTTTGTACCACTATTACAATAATATTTATATAACATTACCTTCACTGGCAAATCTTCAAACTTTTTGCTTTTGACATAAAATATCCGCGCACATGCGCAAAGCCGCTTTCCAATTATAATTAGTGGTAAAAGTTAGAAGTTTGCAAAATTTTTCCACTAATTGAAAAGTACTACCACTAATTTTTTGGTTGTGAACAACACTGTGTATATTCATAAGACAAACTTTTACGTTAATTGAAACCACTAATTTATTTCACTAATTATGAGGTTCTGAATGAGGCTTTAGTATTTAGATAGCGTTTATCGAAAAGGAACCAAGTGCCAAAAACTTTTTCTGGGATATACAAAAAATTAATGATTTGGAAACCCTCTCAATCCTTTTGAGATAAGTTCCAAATGATCAACCTTTTGAGCATTATTAAAAATGAGTTATTTGACAAATAATTTTACTAAGCCCAGAAAAAGTAAACTGTTTTTATAAAAAAATGCTAGGTAATTTGTTATATAATATTTTGGCATCAAAATTGTCAAACATACATAAAAAAAACGCAAGAAATATTTTATAAAAGCTCTACTATAATTGTAATAATTTACAGGTGTGGACGGAACAAGATAAATCTTTTTTTTGTCTCATTTACACCTTCTAATAGAGTAATTGCATCAAAAATGAAAATTCCTAAAAACCTTTTTAATGTAATCTAGAGGTAAAAACACATTGCGAACATATTTTTTTATATTCCAAAAGTTCAACCCGGCCCCAAAATATCAAATTGAAAAAAGGTACTTTTCAAACGTTCCCGAACTCCCGCCACATTGCATGACGTCATAAACCTACACCAGTGTCAGAAATCAAGATGTCAACAAATAATAAACACCGATAAAGTTTATTTTTAAAATGGAAAACGCGAAAACAAAAATTGGTTGTAAATATTGTTTTGTGCCTTGTTGTACAAATACAACCTGGAAAACTCCTGGGAAAAGGTTTATCACCGTGCCAAAAGGGAAAATAAGATAAAGTGGATTAAAATAGCTCGGCGCGATATCAAACCATCGTCACCGCAGTCAACATTTTATTGCTGCGAGGATCATTTTAATGTAAGTAAAATATAATGTCGTTTACTAAACTCAAGAAATACGGCTGAGCCGTAACGGCTCTTAGTGTAGGGTCATAAACTTTGCATTTGATAATTGAATGGACAACTTTCCCAGGAGTTTTCCAGGTTGTATTTGTACAACAAGGCACAAATAGTATATTACACTACAAGGGCAGAAAGTGTGAGATTCCTGCACTGCGCGCCATGATCATGGCACGCAGTTCAGGGCTCTCACACTTTCTGCTCGTGTAGTGTATACTATTTTTCTTACTACCTCGGCCGAAAATACAAACCGGCCAAAAATACGGGAAAAAATTAAATGTGTATTTATGTACCTATCTCCATTTGAAGAGCTTGATAAATAAATAACAGTAGGCCGTGAATTCAGCGGTGCCAATACAGTAAAAATAAAAGGTTGTATTTTAATTAACAAATTACTACTTTATAACAAATAAAAGTACCATTAAACACTTAAAACAACATAAAAAGTAAAAAAGTAAAAACATAAATTGTATATTTGTTGTTATAATTGCAAAATTATGGTTTAAAACTGTCATATTTTTGTGTTGTTGGCAGTACGAAATTTTAATGTTAAGCACACAAGATACATACACCTTAAGATAGGATGGTGCGCATGTTGGGCGGGGCTTAACTACGTCACTTGATGAGTGTTTTTAAATCTTTAACGTGCTTTTTAATTATCTGCTGCTAAAATTCTTCTTTTTGCGATGCTGTTAGATGTTAATTTGCTCTATTTTTTGTTTAACTTGTTGTTTTCGTGTTCGGTAAGGTTAGAATTACTTTTCAGTGTTCAAATTATTGTTATTGCGTTGTGTTAACCTGTTCTGTTTGTTTATTATTGTTTTTGTGTTGCGTTAACTTGTTTTGTTTGTGTTTTAGTTTGTGTCGTGCCATTTGCATTTATTAAAATGCGGTTTGGCATATTTGGATGCAATTCGGACAACCAGTCCAAGAAAAACCCTTTAAATAAAAACATTAAATTTACTTGATTCCCAAAAAGTTTGATTTGTGGAAACAGTGTTTAAATACCACAAAAAGAATAGACAATATTAAAGTTAAAGCCGCTTCTGTTTCTTATAAACATTTTCTGGACAGTGAGTATAAGTTTAATTTAAAACACCAACGCTTTAACTACAGCCCTAAATGTTATCAAGGACTGAAAGCATCTATTATCCATATTATAACACTTTCTTCAATATTAAGTTTAATAAAAACGCACTATGTCCAGATATTTCTCTATTTACTTTGATAATATTAGTATTATTCGTGTATTCTCACGGCAACTACTCATCAAGTGACGTCATGCGCGGGACGAACCAAAAAAGTTTTACTCCCGCTATTAGAGTGTGCGCGTATAGCTTGACCAATGCATAAAACGTAAACTTTCTGCCGTGGAATCGGGGACGAAACAACGTATTTTGAGTCGAGGTAGTAAGAAAACAATATTTACAACCAATTTTTGTTTTCGCGTTTTCCATGTTAAACATGTAAAACATGTTAAACTTTATCGGTGTTTATTATTTGTTGACATCTTGATTTCTGACACTGGTGTAGGTTTATGACGTCATGCAATATGGCGGGAGTTCGGAAACGTTTGAAAAGTAACTTTTTTCAATTTGATATCTTGGGACCAGGTTGAACTTTTGGAATATAAAAAAATATTTTCGCAATGTGTTTTTACCTCTAGATTACATTAAAAATGTTTTTAGGGATTTTCATTTTTGATGCAATTACTCTATTATTACAATTATCCCTACTTTTATAAAATATTTCTTGCGGTTTTTTTATTTAATGTATAGCCTAATGAACGAAGAATATTTTTGATGCCAAAATATTATATAATAAATTATCTACAATTTTTTTATAAAAACAGTTTTGTAATTCGTGCGTTTCGCGCGCCTGAAATAAACAATAAGCGTTATCCATTTATACTTATAAGCTAAAAATATACATAATAAATGCAATTTTACTTCGTCGAAAATCTAATCGAAAAGAAAGCTTTATTTTTAAATTATTAATTAAAAAGAAGTATAAGTTTTAACTCTCACCTGTATTAGCACCGTAGACCGATTGACTAGTATTTTGCGGATAGGTTTGATTGTTTGGATACGAGTTCGCCTGGCTGATGGTGGGGAAGGCGTTGTTCGAGTTGCCGCCCTGATAACCACCGCCGGTGGAATTGCCGCCGCCCGACGAGTATGCGTTCGAGTACGAGTTGGCGGCGGTGTTGCCGCCCGCTCCCGCAGACGCTTGGTACGCGTTGTTGCCGGATCCGGCCGTCGCCGCCGACTGGCTGTTCACGTAGTTGTTCGATTGGCCGGACACGTACGAGCTCGTTGTCGTCTAGAAAATGAAGAAGAATTGTTATAATTTAAAAGAAATAAAGTTCTTTTTTTTAATCTAGACTACGGCAACGTTGCAAATTTAGGGTTTTGGTTGGTAAATACAATTGTCAAGTTGGTCGCATTGATTAAAACCAAACTAAGCTAGTTATAAATCTAATTGTGCAGTTCTGTTTTGTCCGCTGAAGTGACAAGTGTCCTTGAGAGGACAATATGGTGCTCACAGCACAAAATTAAGCTAATCAGTGCCAAAACTCCTAAATCTACATTAGATTTGTGAAGATGCAATAGATTTCCACAAAGGATGGTCGAAATATTAAAGGATTTAATAGTCATGTTCAAACAGCCATCGTGGGTTTTTTTGCTATTTTTTTTTGCCCTCTATTTTTATCAGGGCTCCCACGGTTAAATTACAAATTTTTTTTAGGAATTTAGGAGGTTTTTTGGAGAATTTTAGGAGAAAAAAGTATGCAAATGAATTTATTTAATTAAATAAAAACAACTCTACACTATGTATACATAAAAAATAAGAAAAAAATAAGTAATTCTTTTTAACAAAAATATAAATAAATATCACTTCTTTTGTACAAATAGGTTATATTGACTAGTTTTTTAGCCAAATCGCTCGACGAGTTTTTTTTTAATAAAATGAAAAGTGAGGTAAAATTACTACTTTTGTATATATCTAAGTAGAAATTTCACCACACTTTTAATTTTATTTAAAAAAAAGCGTCGATAGATATGGCTAAAAAAGTAGGCCAAAGGTTTAATGATGTTATATTTATATTTTGAAAAAAAAACTTAACAGTTTAGTTAATAAGTAACAATAATTGTAATGTTATTGTTACTAAAAATCTTATAATAGAAAAAATATAAAGTGCATGATACAGCAAAAAATTCTTTAGATTGTTTACTATTTTAGCTATCATTTAAAAGAAAATTAAAAATCCTTTTGTTTGATATATAACACGGTATATTTTTGTCGAAAATTAACGAAATATGGCTAAAAATGACAATTTTGTAGAAGTCTAGAAGCTACTACATGGATTTTGTTTTATGGTATATTTTGTTGTTTTTTAAGAAAAATGTTGGTTGTGATACCTATATCATTTTAAAAAGAATTTAAGAAACTAGAACCCAAAAATATATATTTTTTAAATTACTTTTTAAAAAAGAAATTTTTTAGCACAACTACCTTAATTAAACGCAGTCAAGTTGGCCTACTTATATTTAATTTTTAGGAGTTTTAGGAGATTGATGGTAATTTTAGGAGAATTTTAGGAGTTTTTAAGATTTAAGCCAAATTTTAGGAATTTTAGGAATTTTAGGAGGTGTGGGAGCCCTGTTTTATGTATGACTTCCGCTGCGTGTATGGTGATTTCGTTTATGTTTGAGACATTAGTGTATTAGTGTAATAAAAATGACTCTAAATGATGAGTGTACTGAGAAGATTTGTTAAGATTGAACTGTAATGCTAAAATAAAAAGATTGATTTATGAACTATGAAGACTGAAGTGATATTGATGGACATTAATTTTGAAAAATAAAACAAATAATCAAGAAGAAAACGAAAAGCTGTAATTTATATATATTATATAATAAAGAAGAAAGGAGAAGCTATAGGTAATCCTAGACTCGCTTACTCCAGTACCTAAAAGAAACGAGATTAAGCTGGCTAATTCCCGGAAGGGAAAGGCCATTACCCAACAGAAGAAGAAGAAATCTAATTGTGCCGTCCATACTAACTCCTAAGTTTTACAAAATCTATACAGACAAACTACCTTAGTTCGAACTATTTAAAACTACCAAAATAAAGTCCCACTTGAAGGTATGGATATATCCAGATCCACTTAATTGGGGGCCTTCAAGGTTTACCAAAACACAAAACATAGTGAGCTGGCCAAATAGTTTCCTAAGAAGCTAAAGGCCATAAAATTTAAGAAGAAGAAATCTAATTGTGGTAATGTATAAATTATTGTAGATTACATTGTGCAGTTGTCAAGTTGAGTTGTCGAAATTTGTATAGTAAATTTAAAAGTAAACTACGTACACGTCATCAATCAGCTGATCGGACACGGTTGTCAATGTGATGCTAAAATTCTTGCATCAAGGGAAAGTGGTAGTGCAACTACAGGGCGATAGATGGCGTTTACATGAATAAAACCAAAATGCCAAAAGTCTGAGTTTTTATAACCTAAATGATGCACCGCCAAAAGTATGTTTTTAGCCATTTTTAAAGACATTTTCTGATATAAAACCCAAAAATTTTGCCATCTAAAGTCAGTCTCTGGTATATATATTATTATTTTATGTATCCAACATATATTTTGTTAAATATTCTAATATATAATTAATAATAATCCTATTTACCTCTCTAACAGCTGTTAAAGGTAACAAAGGTCCATTATTATCCCGTTCTGCCTCAAAATAGAGTATTAAGGATGACACCAACTCTTGACTCCGACTATTTAAATGCTTCGGCATTTTAAATATAGGAAACACAAAAAAACGATATATAACAAACACAAAAACGGCAATGAAAACTTAAACGATATAAAATAACACAAACAACAAACAAAATAAACGAAATATTACACGAATTAAACGAAATATTCAAAAACACAACTGACAGCTTCGAAATTCTAAAACGTCAAATTCTTTTTTATGTGTCATTTAAATATGAAATATTTGAATGTAAATATGACAACATCTTAATTGTTGCCAACTGAAGATGTTTAAAATGCATTCAAATATTCAATTACAGACTTCGATTTAGTCATTTAGTGTTGGTACCAATGCGTAAAATTTTTGTTTTATTGATGACGTGTACGTAGTTTACTTTTAAATTTACTATAGTTAAAAATGCAATTAATTTGGCTTTGGTGGTGCTTGAATGAGTACAATTATATAAAAAAAGTAGTTAAATACAGGTTGCTTTACGGCCCAGAAGAGAAAGTATTCTTAGCGGATAATAATCTTCGCTTTGAAAAGAATTTATATAAAACAAGTCAAAATTTTTTGTTAACGTACTTGTTGTCCAATGGTGAATAATGTGAAAATAATGTGTGATGTAATATTTATAAAACCAAATTCGTTACTTTTTTACTCCAAAAATGTCCATAAGGCGATGTACTCTTTCTTCCATTGTGGCATTTAGCATAATTTCATCCAAAAGTTTTGCCCTCAAAAGGGCTTTTACATTCGAATTCGTTGCTATTATTTTTGGCATAATTATCTTTTTATTTATAATTGACAAGTAAATTATAAATAATAAATATTCTTGTCAATTTGACAGTGTCAAAGTATTTAATTAAATTCTTTAGCAGAAGTACCATTTTTAAATACTAAAAATACCAAGTCAAACTGGCATAAGCCACCAACAGGACTGTGTGAAAAGAAATTGATAGCATCGTTTGACATTCGTTTCAAAATTTGTATTGTATTTGTATATAAATGTCCAAATATCATTTAGAATACAATTGTGTTTGTATAATAAATTCAAATTTTTAGTGCCTTTATTAAAATTGGGAAGGTAAGTTTATTGATTTTAAGTAACTTATACCTTAAAAATTAAAAGAATAAGATAAAAGTAATTTTAAAAGCTGTCAAACACGTTTTTAGGTTATTTTGTTTTGTTTTTGAAAATAATAAAAAATAAAAGGGTCTTGCAGAAGCAATAAAATACTTATCGCGTGTGATGGTTGATTTTAAGATCAAATTTCTGTCTCATCATCAATAAATTATTTAAAAAGAATTTTCATTTTTTAATAAAAAAATTAAAATGGGTAGAAAATTGAAAAAAAAAATGTTCAAAAGCTATATTGAAATAAATGGATTGACAAAATATTAATACAATTTAAATTAAAGGTTTTTTTTAGCAAAAACAACATTTGTCACGAAATTTAGGATAGGAATCGGTTTCCATTTTGGAGTCGGGAATTTATTTTCATTTTGAAAGTTACCGGAAACTTTTCGCTTTTTTATGTAAATGTCAATTGTTTAACAGCTGATTTGCCAAGTTAAGGCCAAGAAACTGAATAAGAAGAAGTTAATTGGTGTAAATTCAAAGAAGAAGTTTGTTGAAGATCTCATCATCACAATTCATAAATTTGCATAAAACCCTTTTAAAAGGTTTTGTTTATTAATAGGTACAGTACAATGCCAAGAGAAAAATCTTATATTTGAAATTATTACAAAAATAGTGCAAAAAAGACCATGCTCAATGCAAGTTTTGAAAAAAAAATATATGCAACAAAAATGGTCAAACATATAAGAAAGTGTCTTAAATCTGAACATTCTAAAATCCAAAAAGTAGTTGTTGGGCTGATAATATGACAATTTTTTCAGATGGTTAGACAGATGTCAATAGGGTGGCACTAATAAATATACTTGTAGCAACTACAGAGCCTGTATTTTTAAAAATGATAGACTCAGGCTCACTGAAAAATGTTAATTTTATTTTTTTATTATATTTTATTGGTCAGAACTGTTATACTATTTTTAGTATCTTTTACTTTTTAATATTCCTATAATATATGCGCAGGACTTCAGGATGTGATAGCTCATCCAAAAAGATGAAAAAAGTCGCTATTAACTTACGCTCTAAAATACACAAGTTTCGAGATACAGGGTGTTGAAATTTTAGAAAAAAATTCTTTTTTTTTCGAATATCTCCGGAACCGTTTATCGTACAAAAAACAGCTTTTGTAAGCATTTTCTACTCAAAATAAGCTATGTTTTGTGCCAGAAAAATTTTTTTTTTACTCATAATTGGTGGAGATTTTGAAGGGGTAGCGGGTGTCTTTCTCCTTAACTTCTACGCCCCTGAAAAAAGTACGGTTTTGAGAGGCCCATTCGAACCGCCAATGTTTTCTACACAAAAAAGGTACTTTTGGTTATAAGCTCTAAACTTGACCGTTTTCGAGAAAAATCAACTTTTATGTTTAAAAACATGGTCAATTTAAAAAAAAAATAATTTTTTTTACTAATTAAATAAAATTTATTTTAACATTAGAACAAGTAACAAAACTAAACCATAATTGCAAAATAAAAAATGATTCAAAAGTTGTCTTTGCTAAATTCTCCAAACCATTTCGCACATTTCAGCATTTGTGTAAAAAATCATTTTTTATTTTTTTTTAATTTTGCAATTATCGCTTGGTTTTGTTACTTTTTCCAACGTTAAAATAAATTTTGTTTAATTAGTAATACATTTTTTTTTTCAAAAAATTAATCATGTTTTTAAACATAAAAGTTGATTTTTCTTGAAAACGGTCAACTTTAGAGCTTATGACCTTTTTTGTGTAGAAAACATTGGCGGTTCGAATGGGCCTCTCGAAACCGTACTTTTTTCAGGGGCGTAGAAGTTAAGGAGAAAAAAACCCGCTACCCCTTCAAAATCACCAATTATGAGAAAAAAATTTTGGCACAATACATAGTTTATTATGAGTAGAAAATGCTTACAAAAGCTGTTTTTTGTACGATAAACGGTTCCAGAGATAATCGAAAAAAACGATTTTTTTTCTAAAATTTCAACACCCTGTATCTCGAAAATTGTGCATTTTAGAGGGTAAGTTAATAGCGACTTTTTTCATCTTTTTGGTTGAGCTATCACATCCTGAAGTCCTGCGCATATATTATGAAACACCCTGTATAGGTAGCTAATATTTATTTTTGCAATCCTCCTGGCACAAAAAACTCATTTTGGCAATACAATTTTTTTTTTAAACTTTCGGAAATTTAAGGAATTTTTTATGGAAAGTTTTCGGGAATTTTCGTCAAATGGGAAATTTCACATCTCTATGAAAAACTGATGTTACCCTGTTACTCTGTATCACGATCATTGTAACACTTGTTTTACAATTTACTATCTTGGTAAATGTAAACTCCAATTAAAAAAAAAAACAAAAAAAATTGTTCCAAACATTTACCTGCACTCCAGCGTAATTCGACGACGAATTGTAGTTGTTGGTTTTGGACTGATAGGAATTGTAGCTGGCCTGTTGCGAGTACGTGTTCGCATCGGCCGCTCCCTTCTGGCTCATCTGGTCCATGCCGCCGCCCGATCCGCCGCCGCCCTGCTGCTGAGATTGCGCGGACGCGTTCGCGCCGCCTCGGCTCGCCGCGCTGTACGAACCCGTCGTCAAATGTTCGCCGGTCTGTGGAATGTTGTCTGTGCTTGAGAGCTGCTAATTAAAAATATTAATAATTTTTGTTTTTTGTCATATTATTGGGTTTTTTGTTTAACGATTAGTCAGATGCCTGAGTATCACTCTTTTGAAAAAGAATCAAAAAAAGACTGTACAAAAGCAATAAAATACTTATTGCAAATGTTGGTCGGTTTTAAGATTAAATTTCTCAGTCTCGTCATCGTTTCATCATTTAAAAATTCAGTCTTATGGGCAAATGCATACAACTTTTTAGTCAATGACTAGATAAAACTGTGCGAAAAAAATTGAGCAACTTTCAATGATAATGCGCTGAATTCACATTCGACCTCAGAATTGCTCTAACATGTCAGGTTTTTGAGAAAAAACGCGTTTTTTTAACCTTGGCACTTTTTCTTTAAATCCTATTTGAATTTGTTTTTAAATCTTTTCTCTGTAATTTTTTTTTGTTATGATTGAATATAATCAAATTTATACTAAAATCAAACTCATAAAATTCAACTTGAAAAAATTGTAAAAGAAATTTGACGGGGAAGAATATTACTTTCAGATGGCGTTAAATTTTGTGGAGAAAAATACCATGTGAAGTAATATAACCTCAAATATTGAGTTTTTCTACTTTAGGGTCGAAATTTCTCGAAAACCTGAGGTCGAATTCGAATGGTTTAAAAAAACACAGTGTTGATAACTATCTTTTAAGGTATATGGCAAAAATGTATGTCTGAAATTTCAAATCGCATAATAGATTGTATTTAAGGTTTATTTTCTTGCAAATTATTATTTTAGTGATGGTTACAATGGCGGACACGAAATTTTGAAAGACAATCATTTTTTTGACATTAAAATCTAAACTTCCTTTATGGACAACTAATCTTACTTCGAGTTTTTACTAGTCTTGTCATTTTGCAGCAAAAGCAAAAATGCTTAATATTGTATCTTTGCTATTTACAGATTTTTACAGGGACAACCAATTTATGACGTTCAAAATTCCGTGTCAGCCACTGTACAAGGATGATTTAATTTGCATTAAAAAAAAAGAATATATTATCGTATATTATATAACAATAAATATTGGTTAAGTGGAAGAATGATCCATGATCAAACTTCGCCCTTTTGATGTATTACTTTTTATTTCAAATAAAGTCGTTTGCGATATTTTGTAATGTATGTTAAATTAACTAAAAAGTTTTGTGCACAACCTCAATAATTTTTAAATAAATAAAATTTGTCGTAATTAAAAAAAGAATATATTATATAACTTTGAAGTTTGCAGCATTTTGTAACACATGTTCATTTAATTAACTAAAAAGTTTTGTGCACCTCATTAATTTTTTAAATAAATAAAATTTGTTAGTAGTAAATGTAACAAAAAATAAGAAATTAAGAAAAAATAAAAACCAAGCACTGTTACTGTCAACAATTTTATATTCAAAACTATACCATGTCAGAAATTCCTTTATGAAACTTGTAGGAAAGACGAATGTGTTCCCCACCCATTTAATGTGGTGGGCGACTTATTTAGACTCAACAGCTATAGTGGGGAATACATTCGTCTCTCTCTCTCTCTTGATTTGTTGCAAATTGGAAATTACGGAGTTTCTCACATGAACACCAGAAAACATTAGTGCTCCATAAACATTAAAGTTATATAAGTAATAGTTACTATAAAATCTGGACAATTTTTAAAACAATGGCAAATAATAAAAAAACAATTAAATGTATAAGTAATTTAAGAACAATCTTTTCAATAATGGCTATAGCTTTTTTTTAATTATAGTCATAGACAAAATTAAAGAAATTTAAGACACTAAAATACATATGGGGAATTTTACTCTGTTTTTTTTAACTTTTTTTTTACCCCACTAAAAAAGTTTCTCAGATTTTTTAAATTTTATTTAGGTACGCAATAAAAAAGTTTTTAATTAAAAAAAGACTCTTTTTTTCATATACTCAAAACTTTTTAGAAAATTGACTAAAAATTTTTGGTATCCATTGGAAACTTTCCAAGTTCTATGAAAAAAACATCAATCAGATCGCCATTTTTATTTTTTTATCATAAAGTTTTCTTTTCTTTTTTTTTAATTGAAAATTATTTTTTTAAATTTTTTTCCCAATTGTTTATTTATTTTCTTATAAAAACTTAAGTACTTAAATGGTTCTGTGATATTTTTAATTTAATTTTTAATATTATTAAAATTTTCATTGCAATGATGCGTAGTGTCCTTTAAATGTTTTTTTTTATTTGAAGTAAGGTTCGTGGGTTTAGGACGTAAAATAAAAACAACTTCCTTTTTTTAAGAAAAATTGCCGACGTTTCGAAAATATTTATTTCTCAACTTGAGAAGGAAATAAATATTTTCGAAACGTTGGCAATTTTTCTTAAAAAAAGGAAGTTGTTTTTATTTTACGTCCTAAACCCACGAACCTTACTTCAAATAAAAAAAAACATTTAAAGGACACTACAAATCATTTCAATAAAAAATTTCAGAATCACCAAATTTTTCGAAATTTACAAAATTTAAATATCCAAAATCATCAAAATGATGTAATATCTTGCATGCAGAATAAACCAAAAACAGATTTTTATCATAGTTTTGTTTTAAAATAAAAAAGGTTTCACTTACGCTCTGTGAAAGTGCAGAGCTAATACTGCTTTGCGTTTGATTCTTGGCTGCGGTCGAAGACGCGTACGTGTTGTCCGCCGAAGAATCCTGCTGCGCGTTCGGCGCCCCCGTCGACTCCAAATTGTTAGACGCCGACGTCGCGTATTTCGGATTGGCGTCGACCGACGTGGCGTCGAAAGTGGCGCCGCCGCCGCCGCCGCCGTCCATAAAGTCCATCGCGCCGAACTGCACGTCCAAGTATTGGAAGGAGTTCATCTCGCCCGGCATCTCAACCGCGCTTGAAGGAATCTGAATAACAAATAATTCCCAATGAAAATAAAAAAATACTATTTTTGTTATGAGGGTTTTTTGTAAAGTTTGGTCAGATGCCTGAGTATAACTCTTTTGAAATATAATCCAAAAAAGACCGTGCAAGTGCAATAAAAGACTTATCGCAAATGATGATCGATTTTAAGATCAATTTCTCAGTCTCGTCATCGTTTCATCATGTAATTTAATAAAATGTATTTTTACAGGGTACTAGCAAGTTCCAAAAAATCCAAGACCGCTGAAGTGTTTAGTATGGAACGCCAAAGCGTCTTTAATTCAGCCATACATTTCAAAAAAGTTGTCAAAAATTGGTTGTATTAAGATATAAAATTTAGCAATGGAAATTATTAATATAATAAATACACAAAATGTTAAGTGAAAGACTAGCAAGTATTAGCTGAACTTAATATATAGATGTTTAAATGCCTAAACAAGCTATTTGCTTATTGGAAATTATATAAATGTATTAAATAAATAAATAAACAAACCATATTTGTTATTAATTTCGAGTATCGCAGGAAACTTTAAAATTATTCGAAATTATTGAAAGAAAATAAAGGCATATTTTTAGTTCAATCATTTTTAAATCTTGAAATAATAGTACGAAGCACAAAAAGAGCTTCTACTCCAAATAACATATAAGTACTATTTTTTTTTCAAGGGCTTAATTTTATTAGGATAAGCAATAGAATTATTTTATTTACTTAAATTTACATTAAATGTACAAATACACATACTGCAGCTCTTCAATTATATCACTCATGTGGGATAAAATTTTGGCTAAAAGCATTAGAAATTATTGATAAAAAGTTTTTATCAATAATTTCTAATGCTTTTAGCCAAAATTTTAGTTTAGTTTAGTTATAAGTTATAACTATAGTTATAACCCTTACTTACAATGCCTATAAATATCCTAAACTAAAAATTAACACTGCTCTGTCAAAATGCTGCGCTTGAATTAATTTTGACGTACTGACGTTTGTTCCGGCATTGGCGACTCGTCATAATATTATACTAATAAACTAATTGTTATTTATTTCGTTCAATTACAATTTAATAAATAATCACTAAATATTCCGTGCGATTATAATTAATATAATTAATACATCGTGATTGCTTTGTATGAAATGCTAAATTAATTTTATTATTTGACGTCTATTGAGTCACCTATGGATTTACTTCTACCCCTAGTCTTTTTTGAGTTTTTTGTCTGCCGCTAATGAAAAAGGCGCACTTCAACTATCTCTATACATGCATATAAGGTTTTATATCATGGTCACTTGAAAAAGTCCTTTTTTCAACTTGAAAATTTAACGAAATAAAAATATCACTTTAACATTTCAGTTTAAACTTAAAATATATTGCAAGCGTTTTATATCTATATTTGCTCACAATGAATTAAAAATATTACATGTGATTCAACGAATTTCAAACTTAAGTAGAAATAAAACTTGCAAATGTTTCTTTAACACTTGAAAATTGATTGAATTAAAAATATTGCTTGATATGTTTAATTCAATTACAAATATTGCTTTGATATTTTTAATTCAATTACAAATATTGCTTTGATATTTTTAATTCATTTGATTTTCAGTCTAACAAACTAGGGAATTTAATCTTTTATTTTCAGTTCAAAAACAAATTAATCTAATAATGTCAAATGGATATTTAAAATTGATTAAAAAATATCAAACAATATTTTTAATTTGTTAAATTCCCAAGTGGAAAAAGAATGTATTTGTATTTATAACAATTGAGGAGCATCCGTGCAAAACCGGCTAAATCCATTTTATTTAGTTTTTGTTTTCGCATCTTTGGGTTCATTTCTATCGACAACCAAGATAATTCTGTTTAAATCCGACTAAATTCATGTTAAAATCACATTTAAAAGGTAGCTTTAGGAGCAAAATCGGCCAAATCCACGTTTTTATAGCAAACCCGGCTATATCCAATAAATAATAATATGTGGCATGGATATGTCTATACTACCACTAAAATTTGTTTTGTTTTTTCATGTTTGCACTAAATTTATTTTGTTAATACTTTTGAATAGTAAAGGTTTTTTTTCACATTGTATTCGTTTTTTATTCGGTTTTCGAGCAAAACCGGCTATATACAAAACATTTTTTGAAATTTTGGCCTTAATATTTTTTGAAAACGAAAGTATGTCTTATAAATCAAGTACCACAAAGCCACCAAAACTCAAGTTTGCTTTTTCTTTTATTTGTAAAGGCCAGGAAACCGAGAGTTTTTGCCATTTTCCCAACATTTTCTTAAAGTGGATATAGCCGGTTTTGCACGGATGCTCCTCAATTATTGTAATCTCGTATATCTCGGAAACAGTTTATTTTATCGAAGTTTGAGAGGTACACCTTTTTAATAGTAGCCGAACTGAGTAATCAAAAAATTGCATCAAATGGTATAAAAACCTAACCTCAAAGTTTGTATGGGACAATAAGCTTAAGCAACCCCTGTTTCTATGACACTGTGTTCACTCAAACAATTGTAATTATGTGTGAATATGAATACCATAGTAGAAATACTAAAAAAACTGATATGATAAGTAACACTTTATCACCCTGTATCTTTTAAACATACGTAATTATATTTAAAATATTTATTTAGATTTTCGTTTTATTTTGACTTGCTTAATCTGCTCCTAAATTTATGCCACCAAGTTTAGGGACACCTTGTATATTTTTTTATTTATTTCTTTTAAAATCCGATTTAAATGGAAAATCCGTTTTATTATTAAAAAAAAATGCCAAAAAACAACACTGATTTGTTATTTTAAAGTTCACTTTAAATTGATATAGAAATTGTATGTTATAATAACAATTGTCTTACCTTTGAAGGTGGAGGCACTCTCGCCCGTTGAGTCTTCGTCCTCGCGGGCGGCTGCTGCGCCTGCTGCTGCGCACTGGCGTCGTAACTGTTCGCACCCGTCGCAGGATACGCGCTGTTGTAGGCGGCCGCGTTGCCGTACTGCGGAGTTTGCGCCGTACCGGCGTACGTCTGCTGCTGCGCAGGCGCGGCCTGTTGAGTTTGAGCCGATTGCAGTTGCTGCTGTTGTTGGTAGGTCTGGCTGGGGCTGGCGCCGCCGCCGCCGGTCGCAGTGGCGTACTGCTTGTTCATGCTTTCGCTGTTCTGTTGCGTTAGCTGAGATAAATACTGAGTCTGAAATTAGGATTTGGTGGGTAAAATCAAGTCAAAATTATAAAAAAATTGACACCAATACACAATACTGCCCTGCTAAGCTAAAAGCCTGTATCTACAATATTAGCATTATTATAAAGGACAAAAGTCTATTGTCAAAAACAATACAAATGTTATCTTTTTTCCATTAATTGACATTGTAGATAAGCTTTTAGTTTAGCAGAGTAGAATATTAGTATAAATTAACATGTTTGTTAAAACAAATAAAATCCTAATAAATACCATTATCATTAGGGTGTGCCAAAAAAATTCCATAGAAAACGTCGAAATAAAAATTGTGTACAAGTCCCAACCCTTAATTTCAATTTTAAGAGGTGCATCATCTAGTTTTAAAATTTCCCATAATAATACCTACCACAAGAAAATATTTTTTTTTCGGTTTTTCTTCCTGCATTCTATGTATCCACTTTTTTCATATAAGAGCATTACATTGTCTATAAAAAACTCATGGAGTCTAATTTATATCGTTTATATTTTACTTACCAAAGAAATTGGAAAATGGAAATTTCTAAAAATTAGTCGTATTACGATTTTGAAACTAAAGCCGAGTTTCTGGAAAATTACTGCAAATTGTCTATTTATTGTTTGAAATTACTACAGAAGATCTTTCTTTCATTTTCATCAAGGCCGCGAATTTTCTGAATAATCCACATAATATATATATATTGTATTATTTTCAGAAAATAAGACAAAATTAGCGTTAAACTGACAAATACATAACCTCAATTATTTGTGATGTTTACACAGATTAAAAATCGTTTCTTACAGAGGCACTTGCAAGTCTTAAATAAGGCCTTTAAGTACTAAGAACAACCATTTTACACCTCTTTTGTAAAAAATAAACCTTATATAAGGAATATTCTATCAGGGCTGTCATCAAACTGTCAAATTTAAATTTGTGGGTTATTAACCTTAAGGTTAATTAAAATTGCTTACAAGTGCCTCTTTAAGAAACACAATGTTTAAAACAATTATTAATCTGTATAAACAGCACAAACCCAAGGCACAAGAATTGTAAACAACATACAAATGGCGGCCGTTAGATTCTGTGCAGTGTTGCACTGATTTTTAGTATGCGCGAAACGAGATAGAACATTGTTGTCTGGATTGTGGTTTGACCTATAATTAATAGTTTAACTACTGCAAATTAAAAATCATAAAAAAGACATTTAAACAATTATTAATAGAACAAATTTGTTGGAAATAATAATTATTGCGTAGAAAATTGAATGTAATATAAAGTTGCTATTTAACTTTTTAATGTAATGCTCTCTAAGGATCATCAGTCATTTATATGAAGAACAAAAAATGCTACACGGAATGCAGTTAAAAAAATCCTGTGTTCTATTCCTATGGGAAATTTTAAATCTTGATGTTGCACCTTTTAAAATAATTTTTATTTCGACGTTTTCTATGGAATTGTCTTGCGAGAGCGAAAAAATACAATATCAGCTTTTACATAAATGGATGGTGGTAAAAATTTTGATGAAAAATAGAGATTTTAGTAAATTTAAGAATAAAAATTTTATCATCAATTTCTTACAAAATTGAAATGTGCAAACCCAGAGAGTTTTTTTTTTGGGTAAAACCCACTTAAAAAAGTCCGCATGGTTTTTTTTAAAAGTGGATTTTGAAAAAAAAATCTTATGTCTTTTATTTTTAACTTGAAGTATACATTTTAATTTTTTTTGTTATTTAAAATTAAAAAATAATACAAAATAAAACTGCTTTAATGCATTAGAAATACTAATTTTAATTTAGAAAACATAAACGATCAAACAAAACTTAATTTTAAAGTTCCGGGATTCCCCTGCCGTGCATGGCAAACAACCGCGAAAATAAGTCGTAAAAAAGAAGGTGGCAAAATGTTCACCACATACTTTTTTATACAGACTTCACTTTGAATGTTATTTTTTTACTAAAATTTGTATAAATTAAAAAACGGTTTTTTCCAACCCTCCACTGCAAACCCTTTAATGGAAACTACATATCGCACAGCCAGTCCAAGACTACCCGTAACTAAAAAGAATTGAACTGATAATCAAGTTTGAAGTTTTCCAAGGCTTAAAGGAATTTAAAAAAAAAAGTAAGGACGACATTAACGCCGTTTTGCAACATTTGCATGGCAAATCCAATTGCTTTTAATCAGTATATTTCGCAATTTTTTAGAAAGATTTTTATTTTATTATTTAAAGAAAATATGTTGGTATTGCACTAAAAGTTTGTCTCATTTGACTTTTTTTGTTACACTAAATAAAACAGATTTTTGTTAATATAATTTGTTTTAATCAAACAAAAAATTAATATATTTATTAAATTAAGAACTAATGAGAAACTGAGAAATCTTCTTAAGACTGCAAAGGTACCTTTACTTTTTTTTTTGGTTTTGGTTGAGACAACTATAGTGACTTATTAAAATCATGATAGGGTTCTTTTACGGCCATTGTTTTGCAATGAAATAAAAGTCCCTCTTTTTTTTTAAGTTATTACATAAAGTTGCATTGGTCTTGCTCACAAATTAGATTAATTTAGGCACCATATATTTTTATATGGTGGGTGCGCACTTAGGCAACAGATGTTGTGTTGATTTTTGAGTTATGGTGTTCTTGAACTGGATGTGCGATATAATCAAGCGGTTGACAAGCCATATTTTTGGCATAATGATTGACCCTTGGAAACTGAACAATTTTAATAATGAATTAACGTCATATTTCTTCTTACCTGAGCAGCGTTGAGGGTACCGACAATGGGCACAGGGCTCTGGGACATGATGCCGCCGGGCTGTTCGACGAACTCCTGTCCCGGCGGCGGGACAGCACCTTCTGGGGGTTGCATTTGCTGCTCGTTGGGATCGTCGTTCTGCTGGGTGCTGGGCGTGAACACCTTGGTATCGGCCAGGCTGCCGGTGTACTCTTCCGTAGTCCATTCGTCTGCGCCGGGAAAATCGTCCCAGTTCTCTTCTAGAAGCGAAAAAAAAAATGCATTTGCAATGAATTGTTTTATTTGAGGTTTCCGCAACGTGTTGAGAGTAGTTTAATCAGATGCCGAAAAATAATCCTTTAAAGCTAAACCAAGGCGTAGAAAGATGGGAACCACAAAAAACTTGTTAGTTCGGATCTTGTACAGTTTGGTAGAGTTTCTCAGTCTCGTCATCGTTTCATCATCAATACAGCTTATACGCTTTCTTAAGCCTTTTGAGTTCTATTTTTTTGGAATATTACTCAAAAGTATAATCAAGACAAAAACTGGGAGTTATTTTGGATGCTTTCGTAATAATGTTTCCGTTTTTTTTTAGAAATCTGAGCTGATCCCCTCTTCGAGAAAATGTAATTTCAGTCAATTTCCAACAACTGAAGTTTCTGTTAGAGTGTAGGTCTATAGAGCCACATATGCAGGCTCTAATAGGAGATATTCAGGAAAAATATGTTAAACTGAAACAAAAGATGAACACTCAGGTATGTGACCTGGATGCATTCGAATGTGATGCTTACAAGTCTTAGAATAATGTCTGAACAAGCAGAAAAAGCAATTCATTAAAAGACAAATGAGCAAATTAGTGGTATTTTTTCCTCCGATTAAAATGGCAAAAACTGAAAAACAATTGAACGTCAGGTTTCCGAAATATTCACAAAAATAACATTTTTTTAAATATGTTTTTCATACTTTAAAAGACAATTTAATCTGACACAAAAAAATATTATTGCATAACGTAACCTTAAACCTAAAGTAAACAATTAATAAGCACTTAGTGCTACTACTAAATTTATTTTTAAGCTAATTATCGACTAATTTAAGACACAATATGAGCTAAAGAAGACATTTTTCTACATTCTAAAAAATTTTTAGAAATTAAATGGCAAAATTGATTTTAGCACAATTAATTAACAATGTATTGTTAGCTTTGCTGATAATTTTGAAACGTCTGAAGAACTGTTTTCTATCGTCATATGAGAAGAGAAGTAACTACCCAAAAAAGTAAGCGACAAAATTGATTTTAGCACGAGTAATAAGCGAGTAATTAACAACAAATTATGTGCTAAAAAATATATACGCTATATACAATACTTCTTAGGGCAGTGCTTTGCTAACTTAATATAAAATTAGCCAAGCACCTAAAAAAATGAAAAATATTAAACAACTAACTACTTATAGACTAATTAACGGCAAATTATTCTTTAAATCGCCATTCAATCGAGTTGGTCACTATAACATGTTTTTCCCGGAATATCTCCTATAAAAGCCTACGCGGTAACAGAAACTAGTTTTCAGAGATACAAGTTCATATTCCAAGTAGACCGATTCATTCAACGGTAAACTGACTGAAATTCAGTTTTCTTGAAGGTGGGATCAGACGGATTTCCAGGATACGAAACAATGATTACAATAGCAGTTTTTGTCATGATTTTTTTGTGATTATACTTTTCTTCAAGTTTTCCGTTTTATCTTTTGTAATGCCAAGTTTTGGATTAAACGTCCGCAAAGAAGTTTCACTTAAAAAATTCAAGGCTCCCACGGCTAAACTACAAATTTTATTTAGGAATTTAGGAGGTTTCATGATTTTTACATGAATTACAAAATTCCAAAGTTAAAAGATCAAATTGTAAAACTATATAAATTTTTAAGGCATGATTGTAAGAAAACGGTTCATCTGACGGGAAATTACAATCAAACCTTTTTTGTATAGCATTCAATTTTCTTCAAAAAATATTCTTAAGTCAAATTTGTTAAACTCAATGGTTTGGGAGTTCTGAGACAAAATCTCGCTCAGGAAAAAAAAATCTAAAATTGCGATAATAGACCTCTTAATATTAATATTATGGACTCACACTTTCACCATAATTTTTTTTGTCACCCACAACAATATTTTCGATATACTTTACAAAAAAAATGGTCGATTTTTTTAGGCCAAACTCAAATGTTGTTACATTTATATTTTGAGATAAAACCGTTAATAACTAACAATAATAATTATTGTAACAATAATTGTAATGTGAATCTTGTTACTCAAAAATTACTATTTTAAAAGAAAATTAAAAAACCTTTTGTTTGATATACCTACAAACAAACAAAATATGGCTAAAAATGACAATTTTGTAGTCTAGGAGCTACTACATGGATTTTGTTTTTAGGTATATTTTGTCGTTTTTTAAGAAAAATGTAGGTTAAGATATATTATTTTAAAAGGAATTTAATATTATTTAAAACTAGAACCTAAAAATATATATTTTTTAATTACTGTTTAATAAAGAAATATTTTAGCACAACTACCTTAATTAACTGCAGTCAGGTTGGCCTATTTATATTTTTAGGAGTTCTAGGAGATTGATGGCAATTTTAGGAGAACTTTAGGAGTTTTCAAGATTTAAGCCAAATTTTAGGAATTTTATGAGTTTTAGGAGGTGTGGGGGCCCACTTTACTAGTGTGGTGTTAAAATGTAAAGAATAAAAAAGTAATACGTACCCTTACCTGCATTGTGATTGGTATTCGCGACCGTGTTATTGTCCCACGTGTTCGAGTTGTCCCACGTATCGAAAGGCTTGTTGAAGCTGCCGCCGCCGCCGCCGCCTCCGCGGTCCGACCTGCCGCTACCGCCTCGCGGTCCGTATCGGCCGCCGCCCGCTCGTCCGCCACCTCTGCCGCGGCCACCGCCGCCGCCGCGTGGAGCACCGCCCCCACCGCCGCGACCCCCGCGCCTTTCGCCGCCGCCTCTGCCGCCCGAGCTGTTCCAGTCGTCGCCGCCGTTCTCGCGTCCGCGCCACCCGCGGTTGTCGTTGTGACGGTCGTGGAGACGGGGCGGGCCGCCGCCGCCGCCGCGCTTTCCGTCGCGACCGCCGCGCGATTTGTAGTTCGAGTTGTTGTTCTCCTTGTCGCCGGCGGACGCGGGAGCGAGGTCGTTCCAGTCGTCGGCGGAGCCTTCGTCGCCCTTGTCGCCCTTGCTGGTCGACGCTTGTCTGCTCTTTTTCTTCTTCACGCACCACTCACCGCCCTGAAACGACAACACAACTTTCTACAACATTCCGTTCTGTCTACCCATTCAAATGTAGAAAATATATACAAATAAAAATCAGATGCCGAAAAATAATCCTATGAAACTAAACCGACATGTACAAAGATAAAAACCACAAAAAACTTGTTAGTTAAAATCTTGTACATTCTAGTAGAATTTCTCAGTCTCGTCATCGTGTCATCATAAAAAATACTTTTTAAGAATAAAAAATTTCTCCAATTTTTAAACACCCCTCAAAAGTTGTGTAAGAAGATTGTGTGTTAAGAAAAATAGTAATAATACAGGGTGTTATGTAATTAATGTTATATATTAAAATGAGTTGTTCCTTAGGGTCCATAAAGAAGCACCTGAAACTTTTTTTTTCTAAATTCCAAAGACTAAAAATAATTTATAATAACCTTTATCCTACCAAAAAGTACGCCACTGATCGACTAGGAGCTTTAGGGTAATCTGGTTGCCTAATTTAATTTATTATGTTATGGTTTGTAACCCTGGTTGGTAACATCAGCGTTTCCAAATTCTGTCAGTTCAGTCAGTCAAGTTGACAAACATTGTTTAAATTTAGCTTAATTGGACGCCTTTCTGCAGAAAGGAACCAACCCACAAAACCAAAAAAATCGAGATATTTAGCCTATGAACTAATTAAGTATGTATAATTTATCTGCAAAATAGGTCATAGCCAAAATGCAAGTGTAGTGAAATCTATTAATCATTGAACCAATCAACATTCAATAATAGTGTGGATTACTAATCCAGAATTAGAATCTGTAGAATATCTGCAAGTGGGTTGGATCTTTTTTGTAAAAAAGCAGGCTGGTAGACCCACTACCAAAGTCTTTAAAGATTTCCTGCTTCTGCAAAATATAAAGTCTTGATGCATTTTTTGGTAGCTTACAAGATGAGGTGGGGTTGGAAGATGATGTGGACGAATTTCAAATAGAATCAAAATTAATTCATATTACCAGTATAATAGTAATATCAGTTGTATTTTGTTTGGAAATAAATAATTGTCGCTTTTCTTTAAATACATACATACATCAGATAGTAGTTTTCATAAATTGCAGAAAGGAACCAACCAACAAAAGCCCATTTTTTTCGTCACCCTTACACATAACATCACAAAATCCACCTGATGAAATTATTAAATTATATCCCTTAAACCTCGGTAAGTCCAAAATCGGCATAAAATTAACAAGTAATTTTAAAATTATTAAAATCTTTGATAGCTTTTTTCTCAGTTTCATCATGGTGTGGGTTGGTCCCATTCTGCAGAAAGCCGTCCAATTACAAAAATGATAAAATTAACAATGCAAATTGTCAATTTGGGGTTTTTATTAATTGTTGGTTATGTCATTTTTGTACTGAAGGTAAATTCAAACTAAATCTGCCAACTTTTATGACAGAATCTAGTGCATTTCTTTCAAATTTTAGGTTATGTGCTCAAATTGTAAATATTTTAAGTGCTTTTGGATTTAATTACACAAATTAAATGTTTAAAATTTAACCTGTGAACTGGTCCCAATTTCATCTGTGTAAACAGAAAGAAAAAAACCGAGGAAAAAATTAATTTTGTGGTTATGTATATTTTAAAATAGGTACTAAATTAATTTTCTAATCATTGCTTAAGCTAATAGCTGGATGAGTAAAGGGTAATTAGAGCTTTAAGGGCATAAAACTTGTATTTATTGAGTTTTTATTTATTTTTTGCAAGAAAAATTTTTAGTAAAAATTTTTTACATCTGGCAACGCGCAGCTACTTTGTTGGTTGGTATCTATGTACTCACAGAACACAAGTGTGCAGAGATAAACCATATCACAAAAAATATAAAAAACTTCTAATGCCTATTTTTTCTTTATCTTTAGAAAAATATTTTTTTAAATATTTTTCCTTTACTCCTTATGTCAAAAGGTATTCAGTATTTTAATATATAACATTAATTACATAACACCCTGTATATTCTGTAACAAGTTTGGAATAGTATGGCACGCCGTTTTAGCATTTATTAGATAATAGTTGAAGATTAAAGTTTAGCACTTTAATGAAGTTTTAACAGAAATTTACAAGGTTAAATTTTTTTAACTTAAAACAATTGATAATCAAACAAATCTTTAAATATAAAATACAACTGTAAAACTTTAAGCTTAAATTATTGATTTTTAAAAAATGTGATAATTTTTAATACAAAAATTCTCAAGTTACATTTAAATGACTCTTTACAAATTCAACTTTTTATTTTTAACAATTTTAAATTGATACATTTTTAACACAAAATTTATAACTTTACATTTAAATGTAAGTCGATATATTTTAATTTACAAATTGTAAACGTAGCTTTAGCAGACGTCTCTTTCTAGAGTGCTCAATTTTAAGCATGGCCCATATTCGGTGAAACGTACAAAGCGCGATGTCTGCAGCATATGCAGTCAGCTAAAGCAGCGTTTACACTTTGTGAATAAAAAATTATCGACTTACATTTAAATGTAATGTAAATATGTCTGTATTAAATTTTTTTTTTTTAATAAGTTTTTGGTTTAAATTTCTTAAGTCATTTAAATGATAGTCGATAAGTTTTTACTCCAAAAATTGCCACTTTAAAATTTAAAACTAACATTTAAATGTAATGTGAGAATTTTTGTATTAAAAATTTATCGACTATAGGCGTATTCATGCTCCCTTAAAATAAGAAATAAGATAAAAAGTTAAAACTGTGTAAAATAATGGTTGCGTTCATGTTCATGAAAATAGGAAATAAGACTAAAGATAAATAACTTTTAATGTTGGTTCTTATTTTTGCGTATAAAACTGCGCAAAAGGACAAAATAGGTCTGTGAATTGGTTTTATGGGTTTTATGTGCTGGCCATGGAGCGATGGTGTTGGAGATCGCGTTGAGTGTCGCTGTCGATTGTTTACGTTTACAGCCAATACATAATCCACTATAATAAAATATAATTATTACGCGGAGATTATACGAGCAGAGGGATACATTTTCTAAATTTGTTAATGGGGGACCCCCATTGGGGGTAAACGTGGGTACAATCTACAACTGCTTGAAAAACATTCTTCCAACCAGTGTGAAGTCCAAAAGATGTTGCTTGTTCATTAATTTTAAATTATATTTTTTGAAACATTTATGTTTGTTTATTTTAAATTGGTTTTAAAATTAAATATTAATATTTTTTCGGGACCTTGGTCCCGAAAGTCCCGGGATTGGAAAAATGGTTCGTGATTGACACCCCTAGTTTGGAGCATAGTATCAGTTGTAAAATTTTTTTGTGAAATTGTGATACAGTATAATATTCAATAAATAAATAAATGTATAAGGGTGTCCAGAAAAAGGCGGACAAACGTTGTAAGGGGGTTATTTAAAGTATAAAAATATTACAATTTGGTTTCAACAAGTAGTTTTTAATTATTAAGTATATTAGTGTAACAAACTCAGCAACTGTGTATTTTCTCCAATTTAAGAAACATCTAAAAACGGTTGTTATGGAAACAATACAACGCATCTACGGCGACTTGAAGTTACAAATGATTGACAATTTTTACCATAACTTTTTATTTTTGAAACGTCATTAGAAAATTGTGTTTTATTCTTTTATATAAATACATATTCTTAAAAAATTTTAACAAAGAAAATATGTTTTTTAATGCCTAGAAATCTACAGTGTGACCCATTTGTAGTTATTATTATTATTTCCACTTAAAATTTTTCAATAAAATTTAATATAGGGTCGTTTTGAGAAAAAATCGCTAACATGAATTCTTAAAAATTTACTCTTAAAAACTGACACAGTAGGCCTTGTATTTTGTAAAAATATGGCATATTTTGCTCCAAAAATACAGTTTATCAAGATCTACACTTTAAAACAAATCCGGTTAATCCGCACAATAAATAAAGATTTTACAGGGATACACACTGTATTTGCGAGAATTTGTTTTTATTTTTTATACTTGAAATAAACTCCCCTAAAACGTGATATACCATTGTTCCGCCGTTTTCCAGAAACACGTTTTCTTATTTTTTTCAAAACTTCTACAATGATTCACAATAAAGTCTAGTCAATAGAATGTCAAATGGACGTCAAAATCGCGACCATATTTTCGTATTGCACGGGTCCCTGATGTTCATTTGACAGTACTAAAACTGTACAAACTGTACAAACAGGAACAAACCTAATAATTAGCATCAATATCTTGGAAAAACGAGTATTTTAAGGGGGGTATATCAATTGCTTCTAAAACTAAATCCAATATGAAATTTTAAAGTGTATATATAAAATATACTTTATTTTCCATTATGGACATTTTTTAGTGACACTGATTTTTTTTTTATTTATTTATTTATTTCTGACCCCAAAACAGTATATTATTTATCTGATAATCAGTTTTAAAGTAAAAAAATAATATTTTAAATAATGCAAATCAGTTATTAGACATGGGACCCACATCAAATTTATATGAGTTTATAATGACATTATATAGAAAAGTTCTGCGCAAGCAGAATTCAAATTGTAGTTTGCGAAAAAAAGTTAGTTTTTAAGTGTGCCCCCCCAGCCTCCTGCCCCTCCAAATTAAGATAATTCAAATTAAAGTGGTACAATATTTAATTCACTGAAGTTTATCGACAAATTTAAAATTTTATTAAAAAATTTAAGAATTACGGGTTTTATACCATTTTCAATTTTTATTATTTCTTTTACTAAATTAAAAAAAAAATAAAAATGGTATAAAATCTGTAATACCTACTTGAACTTTTTTAATAAAATTTGAAATTTGTCGATAAACTTCAGTGAATTAAATATTGTACCACTTTAATTTGAATTATCTTAATTTGGGGGTGCAGGAGGCTGGGGGGCACACTTAAAAACTAACTTTTTTTCGCAAACTTTAATTTAAATTCTGCTTGCGCAGAACTTGTCTATATAATGTCATTATAAACTCATATAAATTTGATGTAGGTCCCATGTCTAATAACTGAGATATGGGTGTGCCAAAATCCACCAGCCGCCACTGATGCAAATAAAATTGTGATATTCAATGTAATAAGAATATTTGATAAAAAAATTTAAGTTTATATCAACCCTACCCTGCTTAAATTTTGGGAGCTGTAGAAATATAGGCAAAATTTGGCATGCTATTAATTTAGATAAAACTATTACACAAATTTTAACATTGACAAAAGTTTTGCAATACAATTTTGGCCACAAGGGACCAACAGCATTTTCATTGTGGCACTCTACTTTTGGATTTGTAAATCTATAAGCTTTATTCAATAAATTTAAATACTTTTTTAAATTTAAGACATTAAAACAATTGTGATTTATCTTATTTTAAATTTTAAAAACCACATAAATGATATCAATTTTTTTTTTAAATTATCAAACAATTTAATGTTTTTCATTTGGTATTATTTAAAATATTTACAGGAAAAATAATGTATTATCTAATGCATTAAAATTAACAATATTACTCATAGCTGATAAAAACCATGAACATTAACACTTTTTTTAATAATGATAAAGTAATAAATAAATTTTCAATGAAAGCATTGCATACAAGTAAACTGTCATATTGTAACATTTTGAAGAAGAAATTATGATAATTAAGTCAAACAATTAAAGCAGATAAAATAGTAATTCATGTTTTTATGATTGTTGGTCATGAATTAAAATGAGGATAACAAAATGTATCAAATAAAAAGTTGCTTACTGTGCCTTGGTCTTCAAGTAGCATGTTAATAGCCTGTTGCATATCATTGTCACAATCATGCAGAGCCAGGCAGACTTCATCTTCTGTTTTACTGCTCAAATCAATAAGCAATTTGACTTTGTCTGACATGCTGATATCCTCGGACTTAGTACTTGTGTCTCTTTGTTGTTTGTCACCACTACCTTTGCCTAAAATTAGAAAAGAAATAATAAATTTGCAGTGTCACAATAAATAAACTTAACAAATGCAAAGTACCTAACCAGAAAAAATTGTCTATATCTACAAAAAATGATTTTCTCAACTAACATAAGATTATTTAAAATGTTATAGTAATTTTGTCAGTTAAAAACATTTATGCCAAGAGTTAGTACTGTTTGGGATGTGTAAAGTAAACATAGTTGGAGTACTTACCAACATCTCCTTTGTCAGTCTTGTGTGACTTGTCTATTTTAGCCCCTTTGCCACCTTTAGAGGTGGTTCGAGTTCCCGAACTCATTATATATTGTACAATATGTACAGATGCTATTTACAAAAACTATCTGGAAAAGAAATAACAATAATGTCAATGTCAAAAGGTCCAGCTGCCAACAAAACAACATTAAAAGGTTTTTTAAGTACAAATAAACTGGTCAAAAAAACGTCGAAGCAATATGAAATTCAATTTCATGGCCAAAACAGCTCTGGAGGCTGTTTTAGTTATACTACATGGGAACTAAATAAGTAACCTTATTGGCAAAAAGTTACTGAGCTAGATATTATTAAAAATGGTAGATAAAAACTATTTTAACTATATCAAATTTTGCTAGACTGAAATGTATTTATAATGTCAAGCCAAAATGGATATAACTATACCTTAAGAATTTCAATTTAAGCAAGATATAACAAGTTAACTGTCTTAAGAATGTTAACTCAAGCTGTAGATAAACTGTCTTAAGAATTTTAACTTAAGATAAAATATTAATTTAAGCAAAATATATGTCTTAATGTCAATTAAAGTTAGATTTAACCATTTGAAAATACAGAGTTAAGCTGGATGTAGCTGTATTAAGATTAAGATTGTCAAAGATTAGAGACAATTGTCTGCTTAGGGTCGGTTTATCAATCTCTGGTTAAGTTACAGTTAGTCTATCTGACAGCTAAATTCCTTATCAATTATTGTGAGAACAGTATCCTTGGAAATTATCTGCCAGATAACTAACTGCAACTTTAACTAGACATTGATAAACCAGCCCTTAGATAGATATAACTGTCTTAATTAAAAATATCAACTTTTGCAAGGTATTACTGTTTTTAAAATGTAAACTTAAGCTGAATATAACTTTCCCAACAATGTCAATTTGTGCTAGATATAACTGGCCATAATGGCCAATTAGTTATCTAACAGATAATTTCCATAGATGGGTTTAATAACATGAACTTAACGAGGAATTGATAAACTGGCCATTCACAATGTAAATTTGAGCCACAGGTAAGACTAAAAATATAATCTTCTGAGGTAAAACTGTCCTAAATTTTCAACTTAATCTAGTTATAAACAGGGCTTGATTTGAGGTGGAATGCACTGGAACAGGGTTCTGCTACTTCTTTAAAAAAAAATTACAAAAGGAAACTATGCTTTTTTATTGCTTTAACTACATTACTCCAACACATTTTTGTACCTACTTGTTTTGCGAAATAAAATTTGAAACTAAATAAAAAATTTGTATAACCAAATCCTCCAGGGGGGGGGTTAGAGTTCTGGCACCTCAATTTTTAGAAATTGAGCACTGTCAATGTCAACTAAAGCTCTAGTAAATACATAACTGCCTTTTTAAACTTAACACTATGTTTACTGTCAAATTTGAAAAAATAACAAAAGAAAATAAAATGTATTAATCCTGAGTTATGAAAGAAACCATTAGGTCTGATCTAACCTGGACCTTTAAACCCATAGGATTTATTGCAGACCCAACATAGACCTGTTTTAATTTTTAATTGCCTTAATGTAAAATTCTTCAAAACTGATATAACTGTTGAAACAAGCTTCGCTCAAATTTGCCAAATTATAATAAATTACATTCATAACAAAAGAAAACAAAAATGGGTTAATTATGACAGTTACTGGATTGAGTACCGATGAACCGGTTGAAAAACGTAAAAATAATATGAATTTTACGGCTGTATACATTTCATGGTCAAAACAACTCTATTAACGCCGGTAAGCCGCTTTATTACTCCCGCCATTGCCAATAGTTTGGTTTTTGCTAATCACAATCTGCTCCCGGTGCAATATTTACGCAATTTTCCTCCAATTTTGAAGTGAAAACTGCAAAAAATACTGCCTTCCTGTACCTATCATGTACCTGTTATTGTTACAATGGCAACACTGTACAGCCGTCATACAAAGAATCCAATGTTATTATTGCAAAATTAAAGTGCCAGATTAGGTAATTCGGCTTAAAAACCCACGTATGATCCCACAAAAACCGAATTACGAGATTCTTGCACTCTCCTCATTGAAACGTTTTCCATTACCATGTGGGAAGACGCCATTTCAGGCTTGTAAGCTTTCCGAACTATTGGCAATCGGAAATTTACGCAAATAAGAAAAACTGTACCGAACTCTTCTTATACAAACTCAGCTCATCGTACCAAGAAAAACCTGTTAATTTGTCGCTTTGAACACTATTCACCGCACTAGTTTATTTAATTAAAAAAAGCGGAGGCCGTTAACCATACCTGGATCTCCAAACCACAACGCACTATGAGTCACGTGATCAACCAAAATGGCCCCGAGCCGCCATTTATTGCGCGCCAAAGTTACCGACTGAACACTTACTTAAATTTCAAATTTATATTTTTAATAATATATTATTTTTCAACAATTTTTAACTATTAAAATTGTTTTTTAAGACAATAATAATAAATAATAAACCATACTTTGATATATATTATCGCGTAAATTCAGAAAAATATAAAATAAAGCATTTAATGTCAACAAAGCAAACACCTACTTTACCGTTTTTCTTGTTCAATAACCCGGTGTTGCCAGATTTGCTGTTTTTACGGTAGATCTACTCTGGTAAATTTAGTTATTTTTACAAAAAAAAAAATTAGTTACAAATTAAGGTTAATATTAACAAAGGATTTTAAAATAAAATAAAAATGAAATGCGCAAAAAAGTTACTCTTACAAAAAACTAATTTGGCAACAGTGCAATAACCTCAAAGTTTTTTGGTAACCAACGATAAATGTTAAATTCTTGTTGAAAACCACTATTAACAGGAATAACTATAAATTAAGAAAAATGCTTTCGCCTGCGAGCGGTACTGGACAATTCTTTACGAAATCGGTCAAAATTATCAGATTTGTGCGGCAGGGATGCACGAATCGGCCGTTTTTTCACATTGTAGTTACAGAGGTAAATTTTGATATTTTCTGAGAAGTTCAGGTATTTAGTGTTTTTTTAGAAGAGACGCGATCAGTTTATGCCTGTAATTGAACAGTTAGGCACCTACGACCCCATGCCCAATCAACATAATGAAAAGTTGGTTTCTTTGAATTATGAACGGATAAGGCATTGGATTGGTAATGGAGCTACAGTTTCTCAACCTGTAGAGCAACTTTTTGGTATGTTTTTGCATAATTTTTACGAATTATATTAATAGTTAATCTTCAGGTATGTCTGGCTTTTTCCCTATACATCCCACTTCATATTTGGCTGCCTGGAGGAATCGTAGAGTTTTGCAAGAAGAAGCTTTGAAAGAAGCTGAAGATAAAAGTAAAGACAAAACAGTGTAATTAGTTTTGAATATTAGTTATTTATTAAATAAGTTGTTTATAAAATAAAACCCAGTATTTTTATACATTTATTTAGGTATAGGTATAACATTTAAAAACCATCCACAATAAAAATGTGCTGAAAAAATAAAGTGGAAAAGAAATAAATAAAAAATTCGTGAAAAGATGAAACACTTAAATACTACATGGCAAATTTTTAATTTTTAACAATCCACAAAAAGTTTATAATATGCAATATTTTTTATTTTATGGTGTGCTTTTTAGTTTTCTTTTTCTAAAAGTTTGGCAGCTAAAACAAAAAAACAATTAGACAAACATTTTCCACATTAAAAAATATAAAAACGTTAAAATTTAGTTGTCCTATTGGACATACTGTTGAAAAATGGTATAAAAGGTCTGTGTATAAAAACGGCCAATAAAGTTCAAAAAATACCCAAAATGGCGCTAGTAAGCAATCCAAGCAAGACTGGTTGTAGATATTATACTTAAGGTGACCAACCTTCCTGGTTTACCCAGGACAGGTTCTGGTTTTTGCTAATGTGTACTGGTTTTGCAGATTTGGTCCTGTTTTAAACTATTTTTTTTTATTATTGTCAGCATTTTTTTCTTCAAATAATACATTAAATAAAATAAATTTTTTGGAAGGGTGAGGGGCTGTTGTGCCCTGGTTTTTCATTTTATTATACTACACATCAAAAACCACTTTGAAATTTGAATATAAATAATTGACATTATACAGTACAGTGTACAGTGTACCTAGTACAGTTGTATGCAAATAAAAAGTGTACAGCCATAGAATGAGAGGAACTGCACTTGTCAAATATGGCGAGTTGGGTTATAAAAAATACAGTGCCGTAGATGTAAACCAGCCGTTTTTCTAAGCTAAACATGGGTATCTCTCTTATCTTATCTCAGCAGTTTTAAAAACTAGAAATTTCCCTAAACAAGTGTCTTTATAATGTTTGAATTGGAAAGGGTACCTTCAACTGTTTTGAATTAAAAATTAAAAACTCGTTTTTTACTACATCTTGAAAACTAAAAACGATTAGTCAAATTTCTTTTCAGATTATTGATCAGCAAATCATGTGAAACTTTTTCCTAATTTAATCAACTATGTATCTCTAAAGATAAGCAAGATATCCATTCTTAGTCTTGTGAAATGGACAACCTGTATAATGTATTATTTTCAGACCAAATTAGCGTTAAACTGACAGATAGAGAACCTCAATTATTTGTATTCAAATGTCAAGGTGGGATGTTTTGATTTAAAGCACAGTACTTTTTTATTAGAAGACCTCTACTACCATCTTTGGGACTTTTTTTAACACTTTATATGCCAAAATTTAATTGTTTTGACATTAAAAATTCACTACTTACTGGATTTTTTAATTTGCTCCACAGTTTCATCAATTTTAGAGCTGTGTTTCAGGAAATATGGCCTGATAAGTTTTTTATAGATTAAAACTGATCCATTAAAGTTGGTTGGGATCATTAGCCACACCATAAAGATACACTGCAAGACAAAAATATATAATATATACAAGATTGGAACAACAAATTGGGGCAGATTTTATTGATTATTCAATAAATACATTGTTATTTTTTGGGGAGTTTGGTTTCGTAATATTTTGCTTTACAAGTAATGTTTAACTCATCCAATGAAGCTGCACAAACTTTTCTTGGAAACATAAACAGCAACAATATTAGAAACTAAAAAAAAGGTTTCTTAAGAAAATAAATCAAATTGTATAAACTAAACACATAAGATTTTTAAAAGAAATAAGGGTTAGATAATTTCTAGTTTCAAATATTGCTTAATATGTACTAGAGATTACTTTATTTGTTATTCATTACTTATATGTATCTTATCAGAAAAGTATAAATACAAAGGTTTGTTTTTAATTTTATGCATATTTAAAGCTTATTGATAACTAAATATGGCTAACAATGGTAAATTATATATTTCAAACACAAAATGAACAAAGACATCTGTTTTATAATTATATTAATCTATTTATGGTTCAAATTAAAAATAAACTTAAAATTTTGCAATTCAGCATTTTTAACCACAAATAAAATAAGCTAAATACAACAAAATTAAACAAATAACCTAAAAAACTTACTTTTAAAAGCCAGTAAAGTGGGAACCAGCCTACAATAGTATCAGCAAAGAATTCAAGGATAGAGAAGGTAGCATAGACAACCCAGTAAGTCAGCCATTTGGTGTCATCATCTTTTGAGGAAGATTCAATGGCTTTTATGGATATATATGCAGGGTATGCAAATCCAACCACGTTGCAGACAAGTTGTGCAGCAAATCCAAACACCAACCACAAGGCAATCAGAGCCACAGTGCCTATACATAATAAAAAAATAGTTTGTTCTTTAACCCCATTGTATGTGGTAAAATTTGTTATAATAAAAAATGAAAATCTTTTAATTCTCTGTAAGAAAGCTAAATGCATTTTTAAAGTTTATTAAGCCATTAACAAAATATTATGCTCTGAAAATTTGACAAAAATGTTTTAAAATACATTATTTCATTAATGGTTCAATGTATGAAAAAAATTAAGAATACCTTTTTTGTAGAGAATGTTGTATGGTACAATTAATAATATAACATATTTTAACTTCGATGACCAAAAAGGTATTTGCAAAAAAAACGATTTAAGTTTTACTAGAACACTTTCTAGGCAAACGTTCTTAAAAACTATAAAATGAGTTAATACTAAAAAAATACAATCCTAATAATTTTTCGGCGGATCATACGGTGACAGAGCTATAAGTAATTATAGAAATCTTACCGATAAAAATGTAGATTCTGTCCACCCCGATTTTTTGTTCCAACATTGCCAGGGGCCCTGTCCACGGTTTGGATTTATCGTGGAGGGATCGGTCGATCTGTTCCTTGATTTCGTTCACGCGTCCTGCCATCACGACAATTTTTTTTTCTGACAACGAAAGAATCAAAACCGCAAACCGTTAAGGACAAAATTCAAGGCCGCGATTAAATTAGAGGTTAGTTGGCCCAAACCGGCAACCACACCAAACAAAAAACCCAAAATCAAGAGTTATTTTTAAAGTAATTTGTTATTTATTTAAATATTTTTTTATATTTACCTTATAATTTATAAAGCCTTTTATTAATCCAATAAAATATTATAAATATTTTGTATAATTTTAAATAACATCGTTGAAATTTAGTGACATTTCTGAACACATCCCCAGAGCTGCCAACATAAGAACTGTCATCTGTCATTTACATCGTCCATTCTGATTACCTAACAATTTAGTGAGTTTTCTAACATTAAATGCAATTAAAGTCGTAAAACTAATAATATTTTTATTGTAGAAATGTTTGCCGCAAACAGAGTTTTGGCCAGGTCAGCCGTGAAAGGTACCAGAAATATGTCAGCTATGTCTGGCCCACCGATGGAGAAAATGTCTTCAGCAGAAAAAGCAATGCATGGGGCTGCTTTGGTTGTTGGTTTGCTCGCTGTTCCAACCTGGGTGCTTGTCAACATCAAGAATTATCGTGGACAGAATTAAATATTTGAAATGTTTTTAGGAAATCTAGTTATGTAAATATTTAAGTAATAAAAAGAATTAAAAGTGGTTTGATTTATTTATGTCTTTTAAGTAGAGATGGGAAAATTCCCATTTGACGAAAATTCCCGGAAACTTTCCATCGAAAATTCCCAAAATTTTCCGAAAGTTTCAAAAAAAAAATTTTTTTATTGCGAAAATATTTTTTTTATGCCAGGGTTTTTTGTGATGATGCTGAATAATCGGGCTTCATTGAGGTTATGTAACATAACTTACATTATTTATACTTCTTCTGCCTTAAATTAAAACACATTAAATTCTTATTCAAAGTTTATTGGCCTTGTATCATGGCCTTAACGAAAATCAGCGGTTAAACAATTGACATTTAAATGAAAAAAACAAGGAATGTTTCCAAGGAACGTTTCCGGTAGCTTAAAAGAAACTTTCCAAAACGGAAAGTTTCCTTAAAATGGAAACTTTCCGATTCCCATCTCTACTTTTAAGACCTACCTTTAAATATATGGACTAATATTATATTATTTGGTTGATTTTAGATGATCTTACATTTTAAAAATCTCTAAAATTGAAAAGGTGTGAAAGTACCTATATTACTAATTTATTTCCATCAATAAATTGGGCTTTTAGTATAGTTTAAGTAGACATAAATATGAATATAACTGATTAAGAAATATTACCTAAAATGGGATATAAAGTATAATTCCACAAAGGTACAAAAAATATTTTAAATTTTTAATATTTACACATAAAATAAGAACTTAATTTACAATTTTCTTTGTTTTCTGGGTCTTGGAGGGTTCCATGATACTCTAGTTGTGTCTGTAATAGAAATAATTTCTAAACCAGACATTTGTAAACCTTTTATTGCTGACTGAAAAAAAACATAATTATGTAGGTACCTATATATATATATGTAATAAATTATGTATTTTACCATTCTTCCTGGACCTAGCCCCCTCACTGTAACCCTCACAGATTTAAAACCCTTCTCAAGAGCTTTCTAAAAATATATAATTTTATTTAGGAAAAAAACAAAATTGAAAACCTACAGTTCCTATAGAGATAGCGGTTGCTTGTGCTGCTATATTAGTACCTTTCCTAGTATTTTTAAACCCTTCAATACCACAAGATCTTATTAATTGAGGTATACCTAAAAGTATCTCAATTTTAACATAATTTACCAACATTTACTTGTTTTTAGTTACCTTTGGCAGTTGTAAGACATAAAATGGTGTTATTTGGAGATACTCTAATGTTAAAAATTGGTATATCTTTAAATGGAACCCCATTAAACAACCTATTTGGTGTGTTAACATCGGGGAATACATTGAAGTTCCTAAAAACACAAACATTACTATATTTTAAATGTAACATTAAAAAAAAAACTGTTTACTGGTTAATTAGCGAGTCAACATCAACAGCTTTTTCACCGGCAGTACCCTCATCTGCTGCTGGCATAGACCTTAACATTTCTCTTCGATCAGTGACATCTCTTAGGTTCGCTGCACTTGTAAATAAGGTTTTAACGTTACTTTGTGCGCATTTTTCAGTTATTGAAATGTTTTTTAGCAAGCTACAAAGGCTATTTCTTAACATTTTTTAACAATTTTTGTTGAGATTTTATAGCCTATAAAGTATAGGTTATAAAAATGTCAAGTTTTGAGGTTATATCAGTGTTGTTCCCAGGGGAAAAAAGCGTAACAGATTTTACAGAAAAAAGTAATAGATCCCTATAAAATGTAATAGATCGCCATTTTTTAACTACCTATCATTATAAAAATAAAGTTATTTCATAAAGGTAAAGGGGAGGAGGGATTTTTAAAATCATCCAAAGCATATACCTATAGGTATAACTCATAGGTATTTGATCCAAAGACATCATGCATGTTTTGTGAATAAAGATTTTATTTAAATATTTGTTACCAAAAACAGATATCGATATAATTGTACAGGTAATTGGTAGGTACTAGCTCCATGATACAAAGAAAACTTTGTAACTCTTTGTATCATGTACTAGCTCCACACCTCAAAGTCCCACCACGTGACCACGTACAGAACGCAGTCTTTTGAAAATTTGGCATTTAAGGCTTTTCAGGTTATGTATCTGTCAAAGTATAGACAACGAAAGAAATAATATTTATAGTGTTACCGCTTTAGAGTAATTACTACGAAATACTATAGTTAAAAAAGTTATGACGTCACCGTTAATTCGTTTAACCCTAAGGTTTAACCACGGTTATTAATTGTCATTTCAAATGTAACTTTTGATGTTTATAAACTTTATAACCTAGAATTTCCACCTTGGAAATTCTGATTAAAATCCATGACGTAACACTTAAGTGCTACAATTGTAGCCAATCACGCCTAATATAAAAAAGTGTGGTAACCTGTTTAAATATTTTTCCACCACGTGACCACATACGGAACGCAGTCTTTTGGCATTTAAGGATTTTCAGGTTATGTATCTGTCAAAGTATAGTCAACGAAAACGTTAAAAATGTATAAATCTTTGTAACATTACAATAACAATGGATGGTTTAAGAATTTAAGAATATAAATACTGCATTTAATGAAATTCTAAAGTGTATGGTGCCAAATAAGTAATATTTTTGTGCATTTGGTCCAAATATCTGGTTTTCTCCATAAAATAATTTTAACTATACAGCATTTATTTTAAAAAAATCTACTCTCTAAAAATGAAACAGTGGATTTTCACTGATTGACAGTGCATATTAACTATTTGCCGCAGTGATAAATAAGTATACCACTAGCAATTAGTGAATACTCACTTTTTCATGTAGCGATGAAATAGGGATGGACAAAACCACTATTTCAAAAAAGTTAAAATTTCACTATTTTATGTCGAGAGTTCCGGAAAAGTAGTGATAATAAAAAACACTAATTTGGCCCAGTCTAATATATATACAAAAGTATATATAAAAGTATATATACAAAATATGTACAAGCCCTGTTGTAAATGACCGATTAATTCCTGAAACCAATTGAAATATGGGTCTGAATTGGACTTACTGGATTTAATTGGGCGCGATATAAAACAAAAATTGTTTTTTTACTGCTATTTTCCATGATGGAAAAGTCCAATTAGGATTCTAATGGTTTTTATTGGTTTCGATTGGATAAAGCTAGCTTACACTGGGAATGCCCAATTGAATTCAATTGGGCATTCCCAGTGTAAGATTCGAAACATCTGCTAATTGGTTATTCCCAATACAATACAAATATCGTAAGAGGCCACTCGTGTAGCTGCGCAAAATCAACGAGGTTGAGACGCCATCATAAAGAAAAAACAACAAGTCTTTGGACGCCATTTATTAGTGGTTTTTTTTATTAGTCGATTTCAGTGTTAACTGCCTAGTGTTATAACACTACTATAGTAGTGTACTTATAATATAGGTACACTACTATATATAAGTCTTATATATATAACAGAGTAGTTTTATAAAAGAGGCAGTTTTACAACTCCTTTATTACACCAATGTACCATAAGTAATTGTCAAACACACAACGTGCCCGACGAGTGCTCAAGGCGATAATGTCGCTCGACGCATGATACCAAGATCATGCGCTCGACGCGGGATTTCTCGTGTTCCCTGCGCTTGACCACCTCAGGCTCGCAGCGTTGCCAGACCTAGTCATCAGTTGCCGTATTTCGGGTTGCTCTAACACGGCCAGACTGACAAAGAACTCGCTCTCGAGATACCTCATTTTCATATGGTTCCAAAGGTTCATCTTCTGGAAACCAAGCACACTTTTTAAAACGTGATAGGTTTCACTTTGCCAATTTTATTAATCCAAACTTTTTACTTGAGTTTTAAGGTTTTTGCTCAATATGTGCTAAATAACCAAAAAATAAAAACAATGAGTTCAGCGGTACTCCTCAGATATTTAACTGACCTGTACTTAACTCCTTTGGTTATAATGACAAAGATCTTATATCAACAATAAGTTCAGAGGTACTCCTCAGACATTTATTTACTGACCTGTACTTGACTTTAATCACACTCAAAACAAAGAAATTAATAATAAAGAAAAACTTTAAATCACACAGTAAGTTCAGAGGTACTCCTCAGCTATCACTGACCTGTACATTACTTTTGTAACACAAAAACAACTTTAAAACAAAACATTGATGTGTTCAGAGGTACTCCTCAGCTATCACTGACCTGTACTTGACTTTTGTAACACAAAAACAACTTTAAAACAAAACATTGATGTGTTCAGAGGTACTCCTCAGCTATCACTGACCTGTACTTGACTTTTGTAACACAAAAACAACTTTAAAACAAAACATTGATGTGTTCAGAGGTACTCCTCAGCTATCACTGACCTGTACTTGACTTTTGTAACACAAAACCCAGATAGCACAAAGAAGTACTGGAAACGTCCTGAGTATATCTTGTATCAGACATTAGTAAGTCCCGAGTACGTCCGAATCAGGTCCTGAACCTTCCGCAGGACGTACCAGGGACATCTGATGTTACCAAATCGTCGGTCCCCAGAACGTCCTAAGTAAGACATCCTCTAGCCGTCCTGAAATACTTTATTGGGGACTCCCAGCAAACAGAAAAGCGTGATAAACACGTGACATTTTACGTCCATTTTAGACGTCTTTAAGGTACAAAATTGACATGTCTTGGTTCTCAAAAATAATGCTGTTTAATGTTAAATTTTATTAAAAGCTTTTGCTAAAAGTAAGTAGTGGGGCCCACTCACAGAGCATAAGGGCCCACTGCTTACTATTCGCAGAGTGGGCCACAAGACCAGCTGTGTCCCTTCAAAACTTACAAGCAGAAGCGGTATGGTCAGTAATTAGGCCAGAAGGTAAGAAATTCTTACTTAGAAGCTTAAGGCATTCCACCTTTATAGGACTATCTATCGTGCTACAGAGGCGAGAGGTATGCATGGGTTGCCTACATATAGGTACGGAACGCAGTCTTTTGAAAATTTGGCATTTAAGGCTTTTCAGGTTATGTATCTGTCAAAGTATAGTCAATGAAAGAAATAATATTTATAGTGCTACCGCTTATGTTTAAGCGTTAAAAGTTAATATATCTTTATAGTATCACAATAACAATAGTTGGTTTAAGAATATAGGAATATAAATACTGCATTTAATGAAATTCTAAAGTGTATGGTGCCAAATAAGTGATATTTTTGTGCATTGGGTCTACATTTCTCCATAAAATAGTTTTAACTACAACACATTTATTTAAAAAAAATCTAACTTCTCTATTATGAAATAAGAATATCTGTATCAAAGGTAGGTTAATGTATTAGAACAAAAAATATCATCTGATTTTGTATTTTAAGGTTAGAAAAATCTATTTTGACCAAAATAAATAAGTGGATTATTTGGAAGAGTGTGTTAATATGGTCATTAATAAATATCCCACTGAACATTATGGATGTGGTGATGTCACAGTGACGTTTAAAAATTGTAAATTTTAAGGCACATTAACTACGTTTTTTAGTGATGTTCAATTTACGTAAAAATTACGCTAAAAAATAAAAGGTGCTGTCGAGCACGTCACTATACCGTCCAGTCTATGCCTTTTATTTTACTTTAGCGTATTAGGTGCAAAACAGAACGTACATTTTACGTCACCAATGTGACACATGATAAATATGAATGGGGTAGGTTTGCCAATGATGAACAAATATATGCCACATTTACATTTTTGTTGGAAATTTGAGTGTATACTTAGATAATTAAATACCTAATATAATTCATAATTTTAGATTAAACCGAAGGTACTTACTTAGAAACCAATATTGGTACATATGTAAATAGGTATGACTAGGTATTATTTTAATGACTTATTATAAATCCCAGAGTGATTTATTATGATGATTATTAATTAATATTACCAAATAATAATTATAATTATATATATATATATTCTATTATTATCCCATCGTGAGATTAAGAAACGTATATTTTATGTAAAGTTTACGTAAAAAAGGACTCGGGTAATTTCGTTTTCAGTCGATATATCGGTATAAAAGGGGCCCTGTAACAGGGCATACTCTGTTTTCGTTGCGACTGCCATTGTTCTGTGTTTAACACAGTGTGTTGCCATTTGTTGCTGTGTGATAGAAAACTCATTGTTTTCCATAGACGAGACTGAACGGTTTAGGTAAGTTGGCTTTATTATTTGTTTGCAACCATACGGTTATAATATAATTAATTAATTAATTGTCCTAAAATCGCCATGATGGCGCTATTAGTGGTTATCGAATTTTGTTGATTTAAATGTTAGCGTTGAGTGAGAATTAATATTAATCAATGCTGTTAGACTTAAAGAAAAGTGTTTTAATCAATTTGATTTTTCAGTTAATACACCAGTGAACATGGGAGACAAATTTTGCGCCGAGCGACAGGCAAGTTATATAAGTTTTATTTACCTAATTACTTAGATAACTTAAGTTTGTATTAGAAGCCAGTATGAAATTATTTAGTCTGACTGAAAGTGATTTCGATAAAGAGAGCAAGGAGTTGTTCCAAACCGCCAAGCAACGCTCATAACGTTTTTTGGCCAAATTTGGACATGAGAATGAGGCCGAAAATTAATTAGGCGGTAGGTACCTACTCATATAATGTTTTATTTTTATA